CTGCTTTTTTCACCCCTTGTTTCTTCGCTGTCATGGAGGATCTCCTCAACACCCTTGACTAGTGGCCAATTGCTCTCGGGTGCATCGAGGACCAATCAATCTTCCAGGCCTACATCGTACAACGCATGTGCTGCACTCTAGTCTGCAGGTTCCGTAACCTAATAATCAGAACTACGCATAAGAGACTATGGAGTGCAGAGTACGGAGTAATGGAATTGCAACTAGAATTGGGAATCTATTGTTCGAATCTAGGGGAGATCCCTAGTGTCTTGTCTTTCCCCATACCCTTGCTTGTGCATCAGAAACCTCATGTTACAGACTTTATGCACTTACTCCGTACCTGGGCGAACGTACCATATGCCCTCTCCCGAAGCTTTCTTTTCTTGTCGTTTTTACCAGTCCGGTTAGAGTCGCAGTAAGTAAAACTTTTGGTCAAGACGGTAACACTCGGCCATTCCCAAGCAATCGGAGAATTTAGCGATGCAATGGCCTTCGTTTTCAAGCAAAGCTAGAGTCAGACATTAATTAGTTGCTAAATCTAGTGGCAATGCTAATCTGACAGTGACAATCAAGGTTGCCAGATTGAATTGGTGCCTTATGATCGATTGATATCGATTGATAAATGGTAGCATGCCAAGCGACCTCAGGACCCAGCAATTAGTCATTTTAAAAGGCCCAGCTTGGCATAATAGTGATCAAGCTGCAGTCATCGATGGGTCCTTTCACCATCAAATCGAAGAGAGATACGGAGTGTACCCCATTCCATTCAGGGTGCAAAAAAAAAAAACACACCCAGGGATGCGCACTATAATGGAAAGAAATTAAGTAAAGGCAGAAGAATCTGATGTATACCAGGTAGATGTAATTAATATCCCAGAGCACCTAGAGTAAACCATCCCTCATGAAACAAACGCTTCATGACTTCTATTCTAAACCAAAAAAAAAAAATGGAAGGAGAAAACGCCAAGCCCATGCATCACACAAAAAACGAAAGTCTATGCTTTTGGTTTTCCCAACAAAAGTCGCGCCCCCCTGTCTTTAAGGGGGTCTTCGACTTCTGTTGGATGCATAACTTTTTTCTATCAATAAAACCCAAGGGATATCTTAAACAACAATGACTTTTTGCTCGATGCAAATGTGGGACGTTTAGTCCAAGAAGGTGAACATGCTCGTATGGATGATATTCAGGGCACGGTCGGCGTCTCGTTCTTCAATGACGCAGGAGATATTGATTTCACTTGCACCTGCGAGGGGGAAGAAAGATTCAGTTAGCCCCAGTCAAGGGTACAAAAGGTAGAGCGAGGGGGTGGGGGAGTGGGGATCAGCAATTATTTACTCACCTTGCGAGATCATCTCGATATTCACGCTGTTCTCCCCGAGAGTAGTGAACATACGCCCTGCGACCCCAATCATATTCTTCATCTGCTTGCCCACCAGGCTGAGAATGGCCATCTCAGGGATGATGTCGACAGTTCCGTACTTCGCCAGGTCGTTCAATGCTCCCTGGAGATCATCATCAATGACCTGATACTCATCCCGTCCGTTTCCATTCAAAAGGGGCATCTCGGAATGCAGCGCCAAGGACACGTGGACCTCGCTGGTCGAGATCAGATCAATGGATAGGCGCCACTTGTCCAATACGGAGAAAATGCCCGCAAAGAAACCATGGGAGAGTGACCGCTTGTTAGAATGCACGTTGATCACCAGGATATTATGCTTGATGGTGACTGCCGTCGGGCGCTTCGGTGTATTCGCAAGACTAGGGCTGCGGGTCCGGAACAGACGTGGATCATGTCCTGGCGTGGTTCTCTCCAATTCGGCCACAGAGTCAGGGAAGATAATAGTGCCTTCGTTCTTTGGGTTCATGACGTTCTTAATGCGAATAGGGATCTTTGCGCGGATGACTTGCTCCATGGTGAACGGATGAATGACTTCGGATCCATAGAAAGTCAATTCAGCGGCTTCGGCCGGGGTGATGGTCGGGAGAAGATGAGCCGTTGGCACTTTACGCGGGTCCGCGGTAAAGATACCATCCACCTCCTTCCACACCTGCAGCTCCTGCGCGTGGGTTCCGACCGCGACAAGGGCGGCACAGAGGTCAGTATATCCACGGCCAATCTGATCGAGCAGACCACCAGGGATGGTACCAAAGTACCCAGTCATGACAGGTACTCGATGCCCGCACGCCTCGACTTTGCTGCCGAAAGCTGCCGCCAGGGTATTATAAAAGTCTTGGTCCAAGCCGTGGGGACCGATGGGGAAATCAATGATTTCTGCAAGATCCACGTACTGCGAATCCACCCCGCGGTCTTGTAGTAGAGCGGCCATGAGCAGACAGCTCAGCTTCTCACCGGTGCTCATAACCTTGTCCACACAGCGCGCACTGATCTCTCCCAGAGTCTGAGCGGCCTCAAGGAACTTGAGTACTCGTTCGCATTCTCCAGTGATGTCCGCAATCAGTTGGTCTCTTATTTCTGCCGACTGCAATTCTTCCTGGGCGACTTGGACATGCTCCAGACGAACAGCCTCCACCAATGTCAGATATTGCCGTGAACGGGGGTTTTCAGCGTCCCGTGCTGCCCGCAATAGCCTGTTCCGAACAAATTATATCAGTATCGCAATTGTGACATGAAGACTATCACGATGACTCACCTGTTCGTTGTGCCTTCGGCTTTTGTAGAACTGCTTCTCGCAGAGCATACGACGGCGACTCTGTTATTCAAAAGGCTCGGTCTGTGAGATTGTTAGCCTCCATTCAGTTGAAACAAAATCGAAGAAATGCGTCATACTCGACCACCTGCTCAATGATATTCCGCGCAAACTTGCCCACACTAGTACCGCCAAATTTCTGCACGACCCAATTGCTGTGGGCCTGCGCGGTCACTGGCAAATTTGAATCAAGAATGGTGGTAGCCATAGTGTCAAGCCAAGAAGAAGTAAAGACAGTGTACAATGTAATGCAAGGGAGTGAGAAGTGGTTTTGGAGGGGGAACCGGCGAAAGCGGAGACCATTGGGGCCGCTTTGGGCTGCATATTTTTTTTGTGACTCAATTGGCAATAGAGTTATCCAAGTGGAGACCGCCTGCCTGTTCTGGCCAGGGGCCAACGATGTCGGAGCGCCCCACCAATCACGCCATTTTCATATTAAATGCCCCTCATTGGCCTTATCGGGATAAATATTATCCCGGAGTATAAAAGGTATAGGTGCCCACATGGGATACATCTGCATTGCATCCTAAAAAATATCACAGACCTGGCCCCTACAATAGCACAATTAGACTGTTCCTTGATTTTGACCTCGCAATTAAAACATCTCATCAAGAATTTGGGGTTCTAAATCTGTAGTTGGGGTGGACGAGAGCCATAGGCCGACGATCGAGGGTTCAAATGATACGTGCATCCCTTTTGAACATATTACTTCTATCCTCCCCTTAGAAATCGCTCCACACTCGTCCTCCTCCGTGACATCCCCCGTCTTCATGAGAGGCGGCTTGGTTACGATGAGCTCCACAGGGCAGGACTCGGATTAAGTTTGTTTTTGGGACTTTGATGTTCCGGCACTCGTTTTCATATACTCCTGCCTATAGTTACCTCTACGTATCTCACCACGTATATGTGTGCGTATAAGATGTTAGATATGTGTATGCTATACAGCGTTCAGCTTCATTGGCTCTTAATAGGCCTCCTCATTGCAATCCTAAGTCAGAGATCAGGAATCATTTTCAGGAATCAGACTCACGAGTATTCCGCGTTTCTGACTACATCATAGGGATTAACTTGGCGCAAACGACAGCTTTTCCTCGTCAGGTTGTAACAAACTAGGGTCAAATACTGCGCACAAGATTTGACAAACAAAACAAACTATAATCCAAGTAAATATGGGCTGCTCTGAGTGTCTCGAGGGGACTAAAGAGGTTTCTACGAAGTATAAAATACTATTTTCGGTAAACCACGCGATATGCCAGGCCGATCCCTACCCGCTTTAAATGGTGGGGACTAGACTAAATGATTAGTCTCTATTTGCAATGCACTAAGAGGATGGGTAGACTAGTGGGCAGACGGTGGAAGCGACTCATTTATCAAGGAGTGTATCAATTTGGGATGTTGAGCGTTTTACTCGGGCTCTCGGTCAGCCTATTAGCGAAGTTCAAATGAGATTTCTACACTTTAAATACTAGGATACAGGGAAGCACATAAGGCTGCTACTATGGAGGCAAGCTCGTGATGTCGGTTGAGACCCAGTGATTGCCGGGGGCTATACTTTTGAAGTATTGGCAGCTTGGAAGCGGAGGTGGCTTGGAATGCTGATTGAACTAGTAAATGGAGAAACTTTTGTTAAGAGTCTCGATAGAATGCCTTCAAGGCTAACACCTAGAAAACTAGCCAGATATATCGGTTGTTGTTCTCACATTTGAAGAAAGACGTTGTGATAGCTTCTACTGGGCTACATAGTTTGGCTACATAGTTTTAGACTTTCTCGACTATTCGAAGAACTTCCTAATTTACTATGCACAAGAATAGTCGGCCGCTTATGTGACCTTGCCATGTCTTTTTAGATGTTCCTTTAGATGTATTTTCTAGGTGTATACGAAGGGGTAAAGAAAAGCATACTCTGTGCAAGAGACTTTCTATGTATAACCGTTGATTGTCTTCCTATGTCTTCCTGACGAAGCGCCAACACCTTTGATAGATGAGTTATACAACTGGAAACACCTACATTATTTTGGCCCCCACGAAGAATACGATACTTGACCCTTCTACTCCGTACCCGCTGATCTTAGGCAGGAAATAGTGACAGCACAGCCCTTTCATATTGCCATATCGGGAAGATGATTGTCGTTGCCAAGATGCTGCCGCTTGGCATCTTATAACATAACAACGTCAGAGTCCCCTGCCTGCTTTCCCCAAATTTTACATTCAAAGATATCGACACGCCCTATTGACATGGGAGGGTTCTCTTTCCCGGTCTCAATGACAGTGTGATAGTGCTTGACCCCAAAATGCTTCCCAAAAGGCAACAGCCCGATGCCGAAACAATAAGGAAGTCACAGCCACTATCGGTTTTTAGGTCATGGTCATGGTTTCCGAATTATTCAAAAGAACCCAAGAAGGAGGTACAACAAATAACGACCGATCCCGATCCCGTTCGATGGATAAAAGGTGTTGTGATCTGTTCATGGATCATTGGGGGTGTCCTCGCCTTAAACATCATCCTCACCGTCATTGCTGCTGGTCTGGCATATTCGGGTAATAGTGGGCAGATCTTCTCATTTGCTTCACTCTATATGGGAAAGTGCTCTACTTCCAAGAATTGGACCACCGGCTTGCACCTCCTGATCAACATCCTCAGCACCGCCCTTCTGGGAGCGAGCAACTACTGCATGCAGTGCCTTGCAGCCCCTTCACGGGAACAGGTGGATAAAGCTCATAGTCAAAAGACATGGGTCCGAATCGGCGTCCCGAATATCATAGACCTTGTTCGCTACCAAACAGGCAAGCGACGTCTTCTGGGATCGGTGCTGCTGATCACCTCATTGCCTATTCATTTGATGTTTGTGGTGTAACATGTCCAGATTTCAAGGTACTCTGGCTGATATGAACTTCTGCTAGTTATAATTCTGCCGTCTACTTCTCCATTGGGCCAACGGAATATTCAGTCGTTGCAGCACAGGATAAGCTTATCCAGGAACATGGCAACTCCACGGAATTTGAGCAATGCTTCACAGAAAATGTCGGAATGGAGTTGCCATCTTTCAATACTGCAATCCGTGATGGGAGTTTTAACACTCTCTCCAAGCAAGAATGTGTTGATACCTTTGCTCAAGACTATGCATCCGGGTATGGAACGATTGTTCTGGTGACCAAAGACTCGATGCCTCAAAATGAGTCCGTGGCCTGGATAGGAACTGGAAACAATCAAAACTTTGAGGGTGGTAATTCTCAATTCAGCTGGCTGTGTGACGAACAGTACCCCTGCACCAAGATTATAGCCGAAGAAAACACCCATAACTGGACTGTTCACGCATTAACGTGGTCGCGTCCCACTATACGTCTATCGGTGCCTATCCCAGGCGGAATTTATGAGAGTGGAGGATGGTTAGATGTCGGGCATTACGGTATTCCCGAAACCGATGACTACAACCATCTTGATGATATTCTCGAACAACACCCTTCCTTGGAGGAGCTGCAAGCTGAGCTAGATGATCCTTCCGGCTGGGTTAACGGTTCATTCCCGGGTAGTGTGACAGTACGCAAAGGTGAACCTGAGTGCACGTACCCGAGAGTCTACGGTAAACAGACTCCGCGATCATATTCAATCGATCACTGCATGACTCTGCCAGTTAAGGAAACTTGTCAATTATTCTTCAGCCCACCGATCTGTCTGGTTGTAATCGTCTGCAATATAGTCAAGCTCATATGTGCGCTGTTAGCGGCACGCGAGAACAGAAAGGATATTTTCCTCACTACCGGAGACGCGATTGCGTCTTTCCTCGCCAAACCGGACCCAGTCACCGAGGGAGTCTGCCTGCTGTCCGGGTCTTTAATCAAGAAAAGATCACAAGGATGGCAGAAATACAAGGGCCGTGAACGCAAATATTTAGATCTTCTTGAAACCAAACAAGAGACTCCGCTTCGTTTACCTCCAAGGAAACGATGGCTTCAAGCTGCGAGTATCTCACGCTGGGTTTATACGATTCTCCTGTATGATATTACCCCATCACGACAGTAATGACCTCAGCGAGCAGTTGACTGACTCCATTCAGATTCGTGTGCATGCTAATCCCATCCGTCATCGTTCTTCGCCTGGGAATTCTCAATTACAACAAAGCCTCAAAATCAAGAAACCTATGGGACTCTGGCCTGGGAGATGCAAGCACAGGGACTACCCTGGCGGGTCTTAGCATTCCCGGGAGCGCAAGTGGGATATTTTCCATGATTTTCCTAGCCAACGTACCTCAGATACTCGTCTCACTAGCCTACTTCTTCTACAACGGCCTGCTTACCTGCATGCTCGGCGCTGTCGAGTACGACAACTACGCCATAGAGCAAAAGCCTCTCCGCGTATCCTGGCCCCACGGTGCCCAGCGTTCAACCTACTACCTCAGCCTTCCATACCGATACAGTGTCCCGCTGCTAGTAGTCTCGACGGTTCTCCACTGGCTCGTATCCCAAAGCTTTTTCTTTGTCCAGGTGATCCCATTTGATCGGCACGGAGTGCCCCAAAGAAGCTCACCAGACGTCCTCGTTACATGTGGCTATTCACCTGTTGCCATAATCTTTGGGATAATCGTTGGTGGCTTGCTACCCATCGCCGCTGTACTCCTGGGCTTGCGTCGTTTTAGATCGCACATGCCGCTGGCTGGTCAGTGTAGTGCGGCAATAAGCGCTGCGTGTCATCCCATGACTACGGCGGTTGACCATGCGCTGAAACCGGTGCAATGGGGCGAAGTTCCAGATAGTGTGTTGTCACATGGCATGTTTTCGAACACAATAACGACGGATGTTGAGAGTGACGCTCGATCGAGTATTGGGAGTGATGAGCAGCGGCCGTCTTTGGCTACGGAGCTGGATAGAAATGAGTCCAGGGCAGTTGGTTTCTTGCATTGCTCATTTACTTCGGAGGATGTTAGTGAGCCGAGTACATCACGTCTCTACCTCTAGCTAGAGTAGGGTGATGATGGGAAATCTAGAAACCCCACGTACTTACGATGATATGATGTTTTTGGATAATATAATAATTAGATTGATTAATGTATGGACATAATAAGATGGTATGTATGAACTGGACGCTAAACTCTGCCGTAGGTGGGTCTCGGGAAACGGGCACCGTTCTGCTCGTTTAGGCATCAAGTTAATCCTTTATCTATACCTCTGCCTCTACTGGTGTTTGCTCCTCTTGGCTTTGCTTTTTTTTCCCTCTGCATTCTGTATATATTTCTCTGTTCCTCATCCCCCAGGTGGTGTCTGCCAAACAGCAACCTAACAATTTCCCCAACAGCGTCAGCACTGAATGAAAACTCCATAATGGCCGAGCACAACACCGCCTCATGCCCTTTTTGCCCTTTCACAGATTCCGATGCTAATTTTGTGTTCCAACACATCGAATACTGCCACCCAGAAACCGGGGCAACTGGTTTCCTGCAGGACAACCCGCAGGAATTTGCAGGTCAAAACTCGGCTCCACTGCCAGTGGACGAGGATGGCGCAGAAAAATATGTCGACTGTCCACATGGATGTGGTGAGACAATAGAGAGTGCCGAGCTCTCGAGTCATCTAGATCTGCATGTTGCAGAGGACATGGCGCTGGATGATACCGGGGCCACACCGGCACGATCAACTCCAGACGTACATGGTCATGGCTATGATGAATCCTTCGATGATGAAGACCCCCTCGATATGCTCAATTCCCACAAAGGAGGAAAGCGTGGGATGCAACGAGACTCCTCGCGAGCCAACACTGCCAAGCCACCACGGCCTCACAGTCCCCCAAGGACAACCAATGCCGATGGCACAAAGAGACTAGGGGTATTCGTCCCGAATTTGAATATTTAGAAATGAGTACTAACAATTTTCAGCGCTCGGAATTGGGTCCTCATGCCCATGAGAAGAAAATGCCATCATGGCTGAAGAAAATGCTGGAAAAGGGCGGCAGCACATCAAAGCAAACGCAAATCACATCAGATGGCAAACTCACACGACGCGAGACAGTAGAAAACGAGACCGACAATCTGGTTCCTATTATTTCCCGGCTGTGCGAACAGGACAAATCCGTCCAGCGGGCATTCTTCTGTAGCCCCAAAGTACGCCATATCTGTAAGATGCGTCGGGAAGGCGGGTTTTGTGGCTATCGCAATATCCAAATGATGGTCTCTTGGCTGAAAAAGACTCGTGGCTTTGGTCATGAGCACTTCCCAAATAAGGGGCCGACGATCCTTGAGCTGCAGGATATGATTGAGTCAGCCTGGGATATGGGGTTCAATAGTTCTGGGAGAGCCGAGACAGGTGGTATCAAAGATACCCGCAAGTTTATTGGAACGCCTGAAGTAAGTCATTTGGTCGGCATCAACTATCTTCTATATACTAACGAGTACCCAGGCACAAGCACTTTTCATGAGCTTAGGAATTCCGTGAGTTATCCGGCCTGCTTCGTTTTAACCCCGCTAATTCCGCTCTCCAGATGTGACGCCAGGAGTCTGGCAGAGAGAAGCGATCTACGGGCCTGTGATGCACTTTACATCGACGTCGCCGACTATTTCCGATCAGCGTGCTCGCCAGAAGACGAGTCAAAGATCGTCCAGACCGATCTCCCTCCGATATACTTCCAGCATCAAGGTACAGTTTTCTAAGTCTTTCAGCACATGTATATGTCTCTCTAACTTGAAACAGGTCATTCTATGACAATTGTCGGATTTGAAATACGAACCAACGGCAGCGCAAATCTGCTAGTATTCGATCCCATGTTCAAGACTTCGCCTGCAATGGAGCGTCTAATCGGGGCGTTTGTCAAGCCTTCAGATCCCACCCGACTTCTCAAAGCATATCGCAGGGGAACACCTTATCTGCAAAAGTATAAGATATTCGAGCTTCTCAAGTGAGTGATTGTTTCATTTTCAAATATTCTAATGCTAATCAGTACTAGGCTACGTATAACCAGCCCGAAACCTGCAGCCACATAAAATCAATCCAATTCGATCAACATTATATGTCTTTGTATCATGATTAGGTAAAAAAATAGAACCAAAGCGAAGTTACTATAAATGTCTTTTATACATTCCCAATGCAGTAATTTACCCCTCCACGATAAGATTAGCCGGGACGAAAATTAGTCCGATGGAATTATTTCATCTGGGGAACCCATTTTCAATCTACAATCTACAATTTACAATTCCACTTTAAGATCTCGATCCTTATAACAAAATATGCGCACCTCTCCAAATGTGATCATCACCGGCACTCCCGGCGTGGGAAAGACCGTCCACTGCGAACAACTCGCGCAAGAGATCGGCCTGAAGCACCTGTCCATTAACCAGGTCGCAAAGGACCGTGGATGTTTCGATGAATATGACGAGGAATTGAAGACCTGGGTGGTCGATGAGGATAAGGTAAGAATGTTTCCCAGCAAGTTTTTTTACCTGAAATGCTACTCTTTCTACCATGGCTTAAGACTCAAAAGTTCACATGCTAATCCATGCGCGACACAGCTCCTCGATGCCCTCGAAGACGAAATTCCTAATGGCGGCTACTTAATCGATTGGCACGCCTGCGACCTCTTCCCCAAGTCCTGGATCGATCTCGTCGTTGTCCTCCGCTGCCCCACTACAGATGTTCTATATGACCGCCTTTCCTCACGGTATGACAATCAACCTCGCAAACCTATCCACGCTGTCAAACTAACATAATTATCTCAAGGGGCTACCACGAGAAGAAGCTAGAAGAGAACGTCGACGCAGAAATCTTCGGTGTCCTATCAGACGAAGCACGGGAGGCATTCGACGAAGAGATCGTGGTAGAATTGAACAGCGAGCAGGATTCAGATGTTGACTCGAACTGCCAGAGAATCGCACAATGGGTCGACTCATGGAAGCAGTCGCACGCGGAGAATGCGGATTGAGGGAATTCGTCGGGGCCATATACAATCTTTGATCTTCGTTTCTCATTCTTCTATGGTCTTTTGCAAGGCTGCGTTATATACCCATGGCGATTTACTGCTGGCCTTCGGCTAGCCACTGCTGCAACTTCACCAGCGCCTTGTACCGGTGCGAAATCTTGTTCTGTTCGCGGGACTCTTAGTACATGACTTTCTTTTCGCGGGAAACAAGATCGTTCTTACCTTCTCATCCTTGTCCATCTCGGCATAGGTCTCCTTGCCATCATATTCGAAAATAGGGTCCCAGCCTGTTATACATCAGATTTTGATTGTCTGCAAACACCAGTTGGATATTCACTTACCGAACTGTCCTGGGCCTCTGGGTCGCACAATAGTACCCTGTACATCACAGTTAGATTTATATAGATTTGAAATGGCAGTATTTGCCTCACCTCAGTTCTCCCCTGGAAAAGAATGGGCTCTTCGCCAGGGCCTTTGCAGAAGGCGAAGGTACACACAGCGTCGGCAGTTCTGTCCTCGAAGCCATCGAGCATCTTGTTCAAGCCCTCGTGTCCCAGACTCTGCATGAAGAATTTGCTTGACAATCATTAGTATTATTATCACAAAGCAAGCCTTCAATGTAGCAAAACATACATGTATGGCCCGGGAAGACCCTTAAGCGCATGGAACTCCAGCGCAGTGTCCTCGGTCAAGGCAGGTCCATTAATCTATTCCTTCGTAAGCAGGTATAATTAGAGCATAAAAGGTCTATGGAGGAATTACCGCTTCGGCGGCACGTCTGGCCTTCTCTTTGGCGATTTCCTCGACCGTGCCCTGGATCTCGGGGATGTCGACCTCCTGGCTGTCCACTTCGATGACCTTACCGAGGATAGCCCGCACCTCGAGGAGCTTGTTTTTGTTGCCGGTGATGAAGTTAAGCTTGGTGAGTGTCATTTTGGCTGTGCAGATAGGTACTGGTTGGTATTTGGTATGGGTTGGAGTTGTGAAATTGAAGATTAAGAGTGTGGGAACCCCACTGCGCTACCGCTGACCGCATATATCAGCCCCAGGTGCAGTGGATTCATCCAAACCAGTTCGACTTAAAACGCATTCTGAGAGCCTCGAAACCTACGTTGTAACTGGATTTTGAAAATGGATTCCTTCATTTCTGGATGGTGTATGCAGCAACGCATAGCTTTGCCTTGGATGAGACTTACTGGCAGAAGTTTGACCCGCGGTTTTTTGGACATACTAAGGATCTCGAAGGAGCATGGGAAGAGAGATTGGGCCTATTTGACGAGAAGGAAAGGGAGGAGATAGAAATGCTGGTCGCTCGGAAGTTGAAGGAAATGGACACCAGGACTCTATCATGGGATCCGGATGAGTATACTCTGGCATTTCATGGGCAAGTATAGTATGTAGTTATGTAGTCTTTGTGCCTCTGCAATTGTATCGACTTACCTGCCATATGTATACTCTCCAAGTGCCTTTAAGTGTTGCTTTAAAAGAGCATTTAACTGATACTTTATAAAAGTATGCTCTATAATACGTCTATAATGTTAAACCAGGCTTTTTCTTTTTAAAAAGAAAAGGTCAAGAGAGAAGTTGAAATTAAATGTGTAGCATACGGATTGAGATTGACTTCAAGAAGGCGATAATGTCGTCGGTTGTTCATACTGAACCTGTTCGGAATAGGGGTCAAGTGAATTTGAACTTGGATTGCTCGTTTACGTTAAAAATTTCATTTACAGGAACTCTCTTAGCAATCTCTTCTGGTCTATAAGCCAGGACGTCATATGCAATTGAAACAAATGAAAATCATGCGCATCACTGTATCGCAAAGGCCGTGGATAATCCAGGCAAGTCGTAATCCGTAGCTCACAGGAAATTCCCAAAGTCTAATATACAACAGTACAGATCTATTCCTCAAGCATCTTGTGATCCCACTCGAACTTCTCTTGCTGTGCCATCGCTTGCGCGGACACAATCTCAGCAAGTCGTTTCAACCGTGGTGTTTGGAGCCAGGATGGGGTATAGGTCTCCAAAGCAGTGATAACACGCGGCTCAGCGATCTCGTACGGGCCGCTGTCCTCCATGTCTACCGGAGCCAGGAGGAGCACATCGCTCTTCTCTGTGACACGAGAAGCGACGGCCTTCATGATCTCGCCGTTGATGGGCTGTTCGTAATCTGCCACCAGGTACTGGTTCAGAAGTTTCTGGATTTGGTTCGGAGACAGCCTGCACATGATTAGTTAGGTGAACTCGTGGGAGAAGACATTTCCAGGGTTCACTTACATCCAGCAAATATCTTGAATGATCTCAATATCATTCAGAGTAGCCTTCTTCAGTTGCAGAAGCTTGGTCGCTTGCTGTATAGGTGTTAGTATAATGACCGAATGAATATCAAACAAGGAACCTTACCATCAAATGCTCGAGCTTCAACGTCCCCTCTGGCATATCATGACTCTTGCACCACTCCTCAATACGAGTGATGTTGTAGTTGATTTGCAGACCACGCTTCCACGACAGGAAGTTGCGTCGCATGAGGAGATCGTTGAAAGCAGTGACGCCAACTAGGCGCAAGAGCTCCGTGACGGTCTGGAGAACGATGGCGTCCTCAAGGTAGAAGGCCTTCATTGCCTTGTAAACACCATTCAATAGACTGAGGAGGTTGTCCATGCTGTAGGCTGGGTTATTGTTGGAGGGCAGAAGCTTTCCAAGGAAGCGATTGGTTTCACTCGTGACAAAGCCGGGAAGTGATTGAGACTCGATAATGGCTGGAACGATCATCTTGTACAACTTCTTCTTCAACACCTTCATCCAAGTGTGATAGATGTTGAATTCCAAGCTCTCAAGGTCGTGCTTGACAATTTCCAACAGGCGGTCATACTCATAGTTCTCGGTCTTTTGTGCTTCATACCAATCCTCGGCCAGGAAGACAAAGGATAGCATCTCGTGCACGTTAGATAACCAGAAGGCACCGGGGTTGATCGCGTCATCCCCGTCATGCTGCATAACCTCTTGCTGGATGGACTGCATAACGTTGGCCAAGAATCGCTCTGACTCCTTGACAAATCCGTTGTTCCACATCTCCGACGTAACAAGGTTAATCAAGTACGCTGGGAACAGGACCTCCTTTTCAGTCGGTGGCGGTGTCGAGGTTGGGAGCGGAATCTTCAAGTTCCGGATAAGACCCATAGCGACCTCCTCGTTCAACTCCTCCTCTTCAGAAAGCAAGTTCTCGAGCTCCACCTCGACCGACTCTATACCGGGAGAGATAGCCGCATTTTGACGGGCAGCCATAGATGCAGGGGTGACCGCCATCGAAACAGGCCGAGGGTTGTACGCACCACTGAAGCGATCCGTCTCGATCCTTTCAGCACCGGCACTGCGTCTCTTGGGCTTAGGTTTCTTTGAGGACACCAAGTTGATCAAGCCCGGTGTAGGGGCCTGGACTGCGCCACCGTTGGTTAGACCGTCACCGTTCACACCGTTCAAAGGTACAGATCTCTTGGCAATCTCGAGCTGTTCCTCGAGATCGGAGATCCGCTGCCGGAGACCAGTCTTGTCTTTCTCATATTCGACGCCCACAAGCTTGAAACGCTCTAACTCCTCGTTGGCAGTTTGAAGAGCCTCACGGGATATTTTCTCCTCTTCTTGGAGGCGCTTGATGGTAGCCTGTGCTTCAGTGTGGCTTTGCTGCAGCTTGGTCATCTCCTCTTCAATCGCCTCTAACCGGGCTGCGGTAATACCGGCCTGGTTCGCTTCAACCTGGAGTTCCTTCGTGCGGGCCTCCAAGGCATTGTGTCGGGTTCTCCATGACTTCAATTGGGCATCGTAGTTGTCCAGCTGTGAGAGCAAGGTTTTATTCTCAAGCTTGAGAGTTTGGAGGTACTGCGTCAATTCAACCACCTTATTCTCCAGCTTGTAGGAAATCTGTTTGAGATCACGGGCATCCTCACGAAGTCGCTTATAGGAATTTCTTGCCTCTTTTCCTCTCCAAAGATTTTGGATAGTGATGACCTGGCGGCGATACTGTCTCCAGGCCCGGAGTTGACGCCAGGAGCGGAAAGCACGTTGAATGACCTTGGCCGCATTTCCATTGATAGAGTCCATGATGTTGCGTCGGCACAGGAATCCCTTGGCAACAGACTCGAACAGGATGAAGTTTTTGCGGATTTGAGTGTAACGTTTCTTCTCCTTCTGGCCACGCCAGACCCGCTGGATCGTAGTAGCAGCCTTGGTCCGACGAATCTCATGGGCATGCTGGCGTGCCAAGAAGCCCCGAATGAAGGCCTGAGTGGTGAGAATCGAGTCACGAGCATCGAGGTAGCGGCGGCGGTAATACTTAGCACGCAAGTTCTTCTGGATCATGATGGCACACTCATTCAACCTAGACGTTCGGAGATTCTCCAGGAATGCAAGCATACCAGCTCGGAAGAAGATCTTAGTAAGACCCAGTTGATACTTGTCTTGCTTTTCATCTCCCAGAGCTTTTCGGAGGATTGCATGGCACATATCCCGAATCTCTGAGGTCCATTGTGAGGAATGGCACAGCATGTAGTATCGAACGGCAAATTCTTCATAAGTCCATCGGGTTGGGTAGCCAGCGGTACTGATTCGGACAGTTTCCAGGACACCACAAGCTCTCAGCTGACTGAGAACCATGGGACCTTCGAATTTCCATGCCTCTTTTGCCTCGTTGGGTTTGATGCAACGGATGTAGTGAACTTCTGTGCCGTTGATGGTGTTCATCAATTCAATCAGCGAGGACTTGAAGATTCCTCCAAGCGTGGGTTTCCGGTTGACTGCAACACCAATCCGACGCCCTGGAGCAGCTGCAACTGGCTTGGATGACATAGCAGCAGAGTCCTTCTCACGAACGGCCGCAGCAGTCTCTAGAATCTCCTTGATGAAAGGATTGGAGGAATTGCGCAACACTTCCAAATGCTCATCGGGCACAGTGTCACGGTTCTTTTCGATAAATCCATCAGATTCATAAGTGACATCGACTGCATAGTGACAGACGGTGAATGCAGATTTCCCAAAGCGGGGTTTCTTGTAGAACTTCTGCTTGTCCGCCGCAAAGTGATGGTGAAGCTTGGTGACAAACTGTTCATCCGAGCCCATAGGAAGTCGAGATTCCTCATCCAAAAGGGCCAGAACGCCGAGCTTAGCTTCGATAAGATCGATACAAGGTTGGTTATCCGAAAAGTCGATGAACGTCCAGTCAATCTCTTCTCGGACATATTCTTCCTGCTCAAGCTTGAACACATGCTGGTTGAATTCTTGTTGCAACTTCTCGTTGGCATAATTGATGCAGAATTGTTCGAAAGAGTTCTTGGCGAAATGCTCAAATCCGTAGATGTCAAGAACACCAATGAAGCATTTGAACTGCTCGAGCACTTCATCGGTAGCGAGGCGGCGGTTGATCTTGTCCACTAGCCAATCAAAGAGACTTGAATAAATAAACTTGGCGACGGAGTCTCGGACAACCAAAGCCTGTTGCTGTGTTAGGTTGGAGGTGATTTTCTCGCCCCGCGTGATAAGTTGCTTCTTCACGATCCATTTCGCGAACTCAGTAGCATCGATTCCTAGCATCTCACACGCGCGGAGAAGTGCAGGCTCGGTCGACGAGACTGACGAATCCGTGCGAGTTGCTGTGATCTTAACATTACCGAGGTGTAGCAAAGCGGCGAGAACACGGAAGATGTCTGTCTGATCTTCATTCGGCACACCAATCACAGCCAGTGACTTCCTGGTCGCCTCAAATTCGGCCTTGTCGTCGACACCGTCGATCACTGGAGTACCACCCTGGTTCAGATATTCAAAGTCTTCAACAGCCAAGAGACCCAGCTCCTGTTTCTCTGCGTCGGAAGCACCGGCTACCAGCTGGTAGAAGATGTGGTAATTGCGCTCTTTGAGAGGCTGGAAGACAAGTCGCGACCGCTCAAGAAGATACGTCCTGATCTTAGCTCCGATAATATTCGTTCGGTCATCGAACATGATCTCGATATATTTGCCGAAACGGGAGGAGTTGTCATTACGAGTGGTTTTGGCATTACCGAACGCTTCCATGACCGGGTTGGTAGCTAGGATCTGCTCCTCAGTTTCACTGATTGCCTCTGCGCGGCTGGTGGTGTATTTTCCGGGTTGATCGGAAGACTCGCGAGTCGCAAAGTAGCGCATGATATATTTGGCGCTCACGGTCTTACCGGCTCCAGATTCACCAGAGACCACAATCGTCTGATTCTTTCCATCGCGAAGCATGTCACTGTATTAAATGTGTAAGCGAAACCAACCCTAAATCTGCAAAATATGGACGGTTCTTACGCAAAAGCTTCCTCTGCGATTGCGAACAGGTGAGGCGCCTGCGAGGCACGTTGTTTCCCAGCATAAACCTGTACCATCTGCGGCACGTACAGCGAATCGACTCTGGCAAATGGGTTGGTTGCAATCAAGACGATACCACTGTAGGTATATATCTCCTTCTGGGCGTAGCGGAGTTTTATAGCCTGGAGGACTTCATAGGATCGTCAGCTGGGAGGGCGGCACCAAACACGTAGGGGCAAGACAAACCAGCGGGCTCGTTCAAGTGAGACAAATTCGTCAGATCCTCGCTTGCTTCAAGCATAGCAGGGTTCATGAGCGGAGGTAGTTTAGGGTTGTTATCGACCTGCAGCTCGGACTGCGTGGTCTCCACGGTTTTTGTCTGCCCGGATCAAAACCGTGTCAGTCGGCCTCAGTAGCTTAAGAGACACAGGATTGCGCGTCCAGAGTTCCAAAGTTCCAAGGCACCTACCTCTCCATTTTCCAACTCGAAGATTAGTTGCACTTTCTCTCCATCCTCCAGCTTCTCCTTCACCTCGGATGCCAACCATCCTTCTGTCGGGTCGGGCTGCCAGGCCCGTGTGCCGACCTCATAGATGTGCGCCATGGGGAATGTAGGTCGTTAATCGTTTTTGATGCAATAAAATCGGGATATTTGCAGAAGCTCCGGGGATGATGGGCGTTTTCGGAGGTAGGGTATCGAAGGGAAAATGCGATTCAGGTCCAAAGACAAGGGGGACTTCTCAACCCCTCATCTCATATTTCGAAAGAATAGAATAAAAGATTGAAGATAAGGAATAGATGAAGGTGGAAAGAAAACCCTTGAATGAGACTAACAGCTGGCCATTTAGCGAGAGCCCCTGAAGGAGCTTAGGGAATATACTGGGGGGGCGCCACACCCCACAACCTGTCACCGCCATCCTACTTGGTCTGCATTGTGTACCTTATGTTTACTATTGACATTGTATTATTTTACTGCATGTATTCGTATTTACTTGGGTATTGATTTCATTTTATCATTTATTTTATGATTATGATTATTTTTTAAAAAAAAAAAAATTCTTGTCTTGTTTTACCTGAAACTGATTTAATGTACATACATCTACTCCGTACTCCGTAGACATGTATGTCTCTGGTATGAATACCAAGTATACATACCTAGCCGTAGACAACTCACATATTATAAGACACTTCAATTGTCTCAGCTATGAGTGTAAGTCCTTACAGTTGGACGTGAAAATTACACACCGATTATGTCAAGTATTGATTGAGTATTAGAAGATAAGAGAGGTGACGCAGGGGGGGCACAAAAAAAAGGCAGAAAGCAAAGCAAAATATCAGAGAGTACGAATAGTCTCATGTTGGGCATTCACCACCGGCAACTTTTTTTCGTTCAGTTTTGCTTGCACTCGGCGGCCTCCTTCTTGGGCTTGGAAGTACCATCCTGGGATGAAGTTAGTAGGTCGATCTAAATCGGTGAGTGCTGTATGTCATACCTCTTCATCTGTGTCCTCCTCATCCACATCACGGTCCGACCCGAGATCCTCGTCTTCATCTTCGTCCTCCTCATCCTCATCATCCTCATCCTCAAACTCATCACCTTCGAAATCCTCACCAAGCTCCTCGAACTGGAGAGCCTCACCGGTGAACCAGTCGATGGCACGGGGAATGAGCTTCTCCTTGATATCCTCACCGAGCTGGTAATCAAGCTCCAGACGCTCTTCGATGTCGCTAGCGACTGAGTCGTCATCCTCGGCGGGTGGCTGTGGGGGCGAGAAGAAGTTGAAGAAGGACTCGGTAGGCACACTGATCTTAACAACGCGGGTCTGCTTGGTGTCTAAAAGAGGGGAAATTGTTAGTTTCAACGTAGCATACTAATCCATCAAGGGCACTTACTCTTGTTGCGCTGCTTCTTGCTCTCCAGGCGGAGGGTCAGGTCTTTGTCCTCCTTCCAGTCAATCTTGGATCCATCGGCGTGGTCGTAAATGAAATCGCCACCGTATCCACTCTCATCCTTGTAGAAGTATGACTTGGAAATAGTTTTGTTGGTGAAGAACTCGTTCTCGGAGAACTCGAAAATGAGGCGGAATCCGGGTCGGTCAAGGTACTCCATGCGAATGTCGGTGAGGTGCTTAAGAGCCTCCTCATCGCGCTCGGTAATCATCTCGGCAAGAGAGATCTGGTTCTTCATGGCAGAAAGCCAGAACTCGGGGATGCCGTTCGCGGCCTCACCCTCCTCCTTCTTAGGCTCCTCCTTGGTCTCCTCCTCCTCATCACTCAGCTCATCCTCCTTTCCGGCCTCAACTTCGGCCTCGGTCGGCTCAACACCGCCGTTGACGATAGTAGAACGACGCTCGTACAGGGGCGTGAACTTGCCGAAGTACTTCTTCTCAAGTTCCAAGACCTCCTCTTGGAACTGAGCCTCGAGCTTGGAGTGCTCCTTCTGGATACCCTTCAGACCAGCGACACGGCGGCGGACGGAGGGGGGAGAGATTCAATGTAGCCTGATGAGCGACCGACAAGCTGACCCAACTTGCCCTGGATCATGGAGACCAGAGCAGGGTTGCGGGCGAAGAGCGAGGCAGCGGCGGCCTTGTCAAGGGATTCTAGAAGAAAGGAAACCACGGTCAAAGAGATGTCGGTGAAGACAAGAAAAAGACGACTTACCCTCCTCGATGCTGGACACACCAGGCTGCTGAGCGTGAGACGAGATAGGAGCATTGTTGGCCGGCGTGTTTTGCGGGGTCCTTCTGCAAGTCAGTATATTTTTTTTTGCTTTTGATAATGAAAAAAATAAAACGGGGATCCTTACGGTGCGACCGGGAAGTCCGCCTTCTTATTTCTGATGGGCTCAGACATGATGAATGGGTAGTGAAAAGGGGCGGGGGAGAGAATGAGGTGAGGAGAGAGAAAGGAGGAAGAATTTGATACGCCGTTTAGTTTTGGGGGGAGAGAGTCTGGAAGATGGTGGGATCCTTAGCGCCCTGTGGCCGAGGGGCTTGGCGGGACGGTTCTGGTTGAGCCTGCAAAAGCTGCAAATTCTCCCAACAATACCTCTTAATACCACTTTTCATTTGTCCGATTCTTTCTATTTTTTTGAAATATTGCTTATTTATGTGGTAGTTTATCTTTTTTCTGTATTTCTTATAACTTCATGTTCTTTATATCCAGATGTCTTGATGTCTTGATGTCTTGCTTTTCTGTAATCATTGTCAATCTGATCGCTCCCGGTGGCGCCCTGAACCATTACCCCTCTCTCCAATTCCAATATCCTAAGGAATGGAATAATTATATTCCCTATATAAATTTGATTGTTGACTCATTTGTCTGTTGCCATAAGTAAACTCTTTTTCTTTTTTAGAAAGAAAAAAAAAACGTGTAGAATGAGATTCGCCCCCGGATAGAAGGAGATATATATTTATAGAACCCAGGTATTTTTACACCCGTACGGAGTAGACGGTTGCGTGTTTTACGTGTTTTGCTTGTTTTGCTTGTTTTGCATGATATTTGATGACGTTCAGAATTTATATTGTAGCTAGGACAAGAATAGTCGGCTTATGCGGCCTGGGGACGTCGTTGTGGTACTCATCTTCAAAGTTAGCTTTGGATGTCATTTTAGTTAAATACGTATATAGTTTTCCTTTTAAGTGCATACGAAGGGGTTAAAAAGCAATATTTTATGCAAGAGACTTTTCTATGTATAACCGTATCACCCTTGATGATGTATAAAATAATTTTTTAGGGATGCAAGTAGTAACTCTATTTAGTCAGTTGGATCAATGCAGAAACGGAGAGCCTTCAGGACCATTGAGTCGCGCTATGTAGATCTTCCCGTATCTCAGATCGAAACCCCGGAGATGATTTAGTGGCCAATGAGATGCCCGTTAAAGCCAAGAAATAAGATGCCAAGACTCATCTAGTCTTCTAGATTGTTATGGAACCCCGTCAGAATACAATACAATGGCATATAGAAGAATATTGCATGCAACTTTATATGGATTCTTTTGCAGGGGGGGGTTTCCAACCTTGGAAGTTTGGTCCGATACAATTATATAATCCGCAGCTATATCGGCCAGTCACATGGAGATAAGTTACTCTCCGCTGTGGGACACCGATAAGCTCCAGATCACACACCCTGCTTTTGTGGGAACTTGCGCTCCGCAGTACATGCTCTCCTTCGGTCCCGTGTCGGTGAAACACAACTTTACTCAAGCCCCATAATACGATAATTAGAGAGGCTGTTGGGGAATCGGCCGAGCTGACCTCTCTCTTAAACATGGGAAGCCGTCCGCAGTCTCCCTCGGGGACTGGTCCCGTGGACCTATCCTTGCCTCGACATGGACTGCGACGCGATTCCATGAGAAGCAGGTTACTATGCCCCATTCCTATCTATCTTGACACTTGAATACCTGCTGATACTTTTCTAGCATGAGCGTCGTGTCGGATGTGGAGATGGCCCGTAATGAGGTATGTCAAATCTTTATTCTCACATGCAGGCGTCGGCGCAGGAGTTAACTCGCACTAGGTCTTCGATGGCCCAATTTCGGAAAGCATCCCATCCAGCGTCGTCTCGTTTGCGCACCGCCGTGATCGAGCAGGCTCTACCGTGAGCTTTACATACTTTCAGGACGGGGAAGACTTCGCAGAATGGTCGAACGAAGATGCGGTGGATGATCAAAGCGAGATTGATGAAGAATCTCTGCATGGCATCGAGGATGCAGACCTCGAGTCAGCCAGGAGCTCTTTTGTGTCTAAGCGGATGTCTACCTCTCGCGATTCGGTTGAACACCCACTTCTTTCTCGCTATATCTCCGCCAGCTCGTATGGTCGAGATCGACGAACCGGTAGTCGGTTGAATCAGAAAGTGTATATTGCGTCCGAGGATTTGACAGCTGTTTTTGCTGGATTTTCCACGAGTTCGGGAGGTTTTGCTGTCTATATCGCCCTTTGCATCTTGACCGGTGGATTTGCCTGGCTTCTCTTCCGATGGCTGCCACGATGGCGGGTAAAGTTGATTGGGAAGGCAACCCCGATAGGGAAATGCCAATGGGTGGCTATAGAGGTGAGATTGTGAACTTTCTGTCCCATATAATAACCGTCTAACCCATGATAGGACCAATGGAACCAATTCACCATCCATGAAGTTGGCAGCCAACCCTATGGACGTCCACTTTCCACGGTCTTCGCCGACTCATCAAATCACTCATACGATGAAGATAATGACCCGACCATTGCCTCTCTACACTTCATCGATTATCGATACCTGAAGTTCTTCTATCATCCAATCGAGGATAAATTTTCTTTGATAAATGATTGGAAAGATTCATCGTGGACTAATGCCAAGGTCATGCGAAGTGGATTGGATGCCGACGAACGAGACAGCAGGGAACAGATATTTGGAAGTAACACCATCGAAATTCTCCAAAAGACAATTCCTCAGCTTCTCGTCGACGAGGTCAGTTTTCCTCCCGGTTGTTTTATCAACAAATCTGACAGTGTATAGGCCTTCCATCCTTTTTATATCTTCCAAATTGCAAGTCTCGTTTTGTGGTCCATGGATGAGTACTACTACTACGCCGTCTGTATCTTTCTTATATCGTTCTTCAGCATTGCAACGACTGTGTTGGAGACGAAATCAGTGAGTTCAGCCGAAGAAATGGATCAACCCCCGAAACTAATTCTGTGACAGACTATGAGTCGGCTTAGGGAGATATCTCTCTTCGAGTGTGATGTCCGCGTCTTAAGAAATGGATTCTGTGAGCTCATTCAATATTATCATCTTACTGACTGATGTAAACTGATCGTATCTACAGGGCGGTCCGTTTCCTCCCAAGAGCTGGTTCCTGGTGATGTGTATGAATTTTCCGACCCATCCCTTAACCAGGTCCCGTGCGACTGCATCTTGCTGTCAGGGGACTGCATTGTGAATGAGAGCATGCTCACTGGTTCGTACAAGACCCAAAACTTTGATATTTTTATATACATCTAACTCTAATAGGTGAATCCGTCCCTGTGTCTAAAACACCACTCACCGATGACGCCCTCAAATATCTCGATCTTAGTACCCCTTCTATCCACCCTCATGTTGCTAAACACTTCCTATTCAGCGGAACCAAAGTGATCCGGGCTAGACGGCCCCAGAATGTTGACGACGATGAAGCAGTAGCATTGGCGATTGTCATGAGAACCGGCTTCTTGACAACTAAGGGGGCTCTAGTTCGATCAATGCTTTTCCCAAAGCCTTCTGGATTCAAATTCTACCGGGACTCGTTCCGTTACATTGCCGTGATGGGGATGGTCGCTCTTCTCGGATTCATCGCTTCATTCATTAACTTTGTTCGATTGGGCGTAAGTCAATGCTCCAACAGACGACCCCCCAAAGTTATTCTGGCAGCTGACCCAACGAAACGCAGCTCGCTTGGCATTTGATCATAATTCGAGCCCTCGATCTGATCACGATTGTTGTCCCGCCAGCTCTCCCAGCCACGCTGACCATTGGAACCAATTTTGCGCTTTCACGGCTAAAAAAACAGAACATATTCTGTATCAGCCCACAGAAGTGAGTGGACGAAGCTGAATAATGTCTCAACTTCGATACTAATACATGAGACTAGGGTCAATGTGGGAGGAAAGCTGGACATTGTTTGTTTCGATAAAACTGGAACCCTCACAGAAGATGGGTTGGATGTGCTAGGAGCGCGTATAGTTACCCGTGACAAAAGGTTTGTCTGTTTCCAAGTATGATCCCCAAGCTTGCGCTGAACAAGAATTTCTAGGTTTTCCGAGTTGCTGTCTGAGACGTCTGACGGGTTTCTTCGTCCTTCCCCAAATGCTAACTCCGCATACGACATCGAAAAGCAAAGTAAGATCATGTACGCCATGGCGACGTGCCATTCCCTCAGGGTAGTGGACGATGAGCTGTTGGGAGATCCCCTCGATGTGAAGATGTTTCAATTTACCAACTGGACATTTGAGGAGGGAGGACATCATGTTTCCGACCAGACAAGCCCTAAATACGACACGTTAGCACCGTCGGTTGCAAAGCCCCCTCAGCGTCAGACTAGCGACGAGCAGGATGTAAATGTGAGTTGATTTTATTCAAGCCACAGCTTCATATCTAACAGGATCCAGAACCCCCTCGAGCTTGGAGTACTGCGGAGTTTCGAATTTGTCTCCAATCTTCGCCGCGCAAGTGTCGTCGTCAGGAAGTTTGGCGACAATGGAGCAAGTTTCTTTGTCAAGGGTGCCCCAGAAAGCATTAAAGACATATGTATTCCTGGAACACGTAAGTACTCTCTCTTTCTTTCTACATAAGCTTACGTTGCTGATATAATTCTTTTTGCAGTTCCTTCGGATTATGAGGATCTCCTGAGTTACTACACTCACAAAGGATACCGTGTGATTGCCTGCGCTTCCAAATATGAACGAAAGTTAAGCTGGATGAAAGTCCAAAAAATGTCGCGGGCGGACGCCGAATCTAACCTGGAATTCCTGGGCTTCATCATCTTCGAGAATAAGTTGAAACCCAGTACTGCCGGTGTGATTTCCGAGTTGAACGAGGCGGGGATTCGCAATGTGATGTGCACCGGTGATAATATCCTGACTGCCATCAGTGTTGCTCGTGAATGCAACATGCTTGGACGCGATGAACTATGTTTTATCCCGCACTTTATTGAAGGTTTGTTTACCGCATCCAGGTCATAATTCAGGGCTAACAATACACAGCGCCTGGTCTTTCATCCAAAATTTCTCTCATATGGGAATGTGTGGACAATCCTGACCTTCAGCTGGACCCGAGAACACTCTTGGTAAGACATTTACTCCCTTATGTCCAATGACTAGCCGCTAATGTAATTGCAGCCCATACACACTGCGGAGACCGACTTGTCAATTCCAGGAAACACTCTCGTCGAGCGTGAATACTCTGTTGCCGTCACTGGTGATGCTTTTAGGTGGTTGGTTGATTTCGGGAATGAAGATGTACTCAACAAGGTAAGCGGCCGTCGTACTAACTATTTCCATTTTACCATGTCACAAATTAATGTGTGCTGTATAGGTGCTTGTATGCGGCAAAGTGTTTGCCCGTATGTCCCCAGACGAGAAGCACGAACTTGTTGAGAAACTTCAATCTATTGACTACTGCTGTGGCTTTTGCGGCGATGGTGCCAATGATTGTGGCGCTCTGAAGGCTGCAGACGTTGGTATCTCATTGTCGGACGCCGAGGCGTCCGTTGCTGCGCCCTTTACTAGCCGCTTGTTCGAAATCTCCTGTGTTCCGACGGTGATCAGGGAGGGTCGAGCCGCTCTGGTGACAAGCTTCTCTTGTTTCAAGTTCATGAGTCTTTATTCCGCCATTCAGTTCTGCACGGTCAGCTTCCTGTATACGTCAGGGTCGAATCTTGGTGATTTCCAGGTAAGTCGGCTATATTACCAAATTTATGATAGATTGCTAATGGTTTCAAGTTTCTTTTTATCGACCTTTTGCTCATTATGCCCATTGCGGTCTTCAGTGAGTTGTCTATCTCTGCTAAATTTGAATATATGAGCTAATTCTCTCCTAGTGGGCTGGGCTGATCCTTCTCCTACCATGTCTCGTAAACGGCCAACTGCTGATCTTGTCTCGCGCAAGGTGTTGACACCTTTGCTCGGGCAGATCTTGCTAGTTGTGCTGTCACAGTTTGCAGTCTTTGAGACTGTTCAATTACAGCCATGGTGAGTAACCGTCACAATATACCTCCAACATCATCCTAACAAACAATACAGGTTCTTGCCGCCACAACTGGACCTGGAAAAGAGCAACATTGTTAACTCGGAGAATACGGCTTTGTTCTTGTTCTCATGTTTCCAGTACATCTTCATTAGCATTGTTCTGAGTGCGGGTCCGCCATTCCGGAAACCAATGACTCAGAATGGTAAGAATCGCACCACACTACGGCTTCTTGCTCATCTATATACTGACTATCGCTGTTTAGTACCGTACTTATGTACGATCATCGTCAATATCCTGATTTCGAGCTACATGCTCTTCAGGCCATCCGACTGGGTGACGGAGGTGATGGAACTGACTTTCATGTCTGACGCTTTCAAACTCTGGTTAATCGCGCTGGCATTCGGGGTCTTCGTTCTGTCCTGGATAGCAGAGAAGAACATATTCCCACGTGTGGCACAGATGCTTGGACATGCTCGTGCCCGCTTGCAGCCACACTACCGCAAGAAGCGCAAGATGTACAAAGTGCTATTGGAGGCACTGCGCCTGTGAAGTACGCTACCAAAGCACTCACATTGTACGCTATCAAATACACATAGACCTGTAGATTGCCATAGTTTTTGGATATTATGACCCAATCATTCGTCTAGTGAGGCTCTGCCTCGGCCACTCGAGCCAAAGAATTACCATTTTAGAAAATTGAAAAAGAAAGGGTATGATACAATTCGGCTGGTAAATGGCTATCGTGAACCTGACACTTGTGGCTTTCGACATGCGCCTCGGTAACACCCGGCTCTCTGTTCCTCTCTTCCCACTCCAAGTACATAGTACGCAATGCAGCCCAACCATCACCGCTGCCATGAGAGGCGAAGCGGTTGCGCAAGAAAACGAAATCGACGATTGTAATCGGATCAGTGGTCCCAAGGGTGCTTCCAGCCCAACAGAGCGGCACCATCCTTCTTGGCTCGGTACATGAGCTACCGAGAGTCCTGTCAGTATAAGTTCTTGAGTATAAAAAGGAGGTAATCCTTACGAAGAACCACATGCTAGCGCCCAATGCAGTCGCAGTGAAGCGGTAGAGCGGTCGGACCGGGTGGATGTGGATAGGGTGGGAGGAGTGGCCCGCCATGACTGTACAGATTGGAAAACAATTAGTTTCCACGGAGTTCGTATGAGTCGAGAAGGGTGCGTGTAAGACGTACTGTGTGCTGAAAATGACTGTTGTTGGTAAAACGCCAATCTCGAATCGGATCTGAAGACGGAGGGCTCTGCGGTTCAACGGAGACGGAGGTTCGTTGCACGTGACCCGTGACGGCACTCGAATTCCACCGCAGCGCAGTGTTTGGATCGTTCGGCAGGGCAATCAGCAGAACAATCATTTGATTTCTTTTTGGAGAGTCATCTGACTCTTATTTTACTTGTGCCTTGACTAGGCTGGTTCCTGCTCAGGTCTTTGTTGAGTTCATTGCATGCCCGAGCTCCGTACACGAGGGCTTTGAGCAATGCGAAATCGTCACACATGCTTTTACCTATGATATGGACTTGCCTTCTAACACATTCGACGCGCTTGGTTCTCCCCGAGAAGATCCCCGCTAATTCATCTTGAAAACTTTCCCACAACCCTGTGTCTCCGAAGACTTCTCGAACCCTCCTCCGTGTACCTTGAGCCAATATCAAACCAAAGCATACCGAACAGCTTGACCGCGGTCGAAATTTCGACCTACTCGCCGGACAGCGCAATCGACCTCTCCTCCGCCAGCGCGAGCGACCAGCGCAAACGACGAGTCACTATGGAGATCAAATCCCTGGAAAAGGATGAGAATGGCCAGGCCCGTTTCCCTGGTTGTTCAAACATCCGTGAATATGAATTCCTCGACAAGCTTGGAGAAGGAACCTTTGGGTGAGTCTGGCAGCGGTATCTCCGAAAGAAACCGACTGACAGGTTGATAGCGAGGTCTACAAAGCAAGGTCTAAAAAGGACACCAAAATTGTGGCCTTAAAAAAGATCCTAATGCACCACGAGAAAGAAGGCGTAAGTCCACTGACTCTCTGTTGTTTGTTTGCCATAAACTGACCTTTGATGCTATGATAGTTCCCCATTACCGCCATCCGAGAGATCAAACTCATGAAAGCGCTTTCCCACCCAAACATTCTACAGCTCAAGGAAATGTCAATTGAGCGAGGCAAAGGCGAAGGACGGAAAAAGCCGAGCATGTACATGGTGTTTCCATACATGGAACATGACTTGTCAGGACTACTGGAAAATCCAGCAGTTCAATTCACGGAACCACAGATTAAATGCTACTTGATGCAACTCCTCGAAGGGCTCAAGTTCATGCATGCAGTACGATCGTCTTGAAACACCCATCCCTGCAATACTTGTCTAACAACATTCGCAGAACCGTATCCTACATCGTGATATGAAAGGTGAGTGACGAATGCTGATATACCATCGTTCTGAGCTGACAGAAGAATAGCGGCGAACCTGCTAATTAGCAATGGAGGAATTCTCCAAATTGCTGATTTTGGTCTTGCTCGACCTTATGATGATGCCCCTCCACTCCCCGGAAAAGGAGGAGGCGAGTCTAGAAGAGAATACACTGCACTAGTTGTCACGAGATGGTACCGTCCTCCAGAGTTGTTGCTGCAGCTACGGAAATACACTACGGCCATCGACTTGTGGGGAGTTGGGTGAGTTCTCCATCCCTGTTAGTCAGGTTTATCATCTTCTAATGTCTTCTAGCTGTGTATTTGGTGAAATGTTCAAGGGAAAGCCCATCCTCGCCGGAAACAGCGATCTTAACCAAGCAGAACTGATTTTCAACCTTGTGGGCACTCCCACAGAGGAGAATATGCCGGGATGGAGTCAACTCCCAGGTTGTGAAGGTGTGAAAAACTTCGCCTTCAAACGCGGGAACCTCCATGCATTCTTCAAGGAGTATGGCACTTATCCCCCCGGCCTAAGAAGACTTGAATCCCTAACTAACCTTACAACAGTCTAAACCCGGTAGCCATTTCTCTATTAAGCGAGTTCCTCCGACTAGACTGGAGGAAACGCATTAACGCCATGGATGCATTGAAGCATCCATACTTCACCACTCCCCCTCTCCCCGCACGACCCGGCGAAATCCCCCAATTCGCAGACTCCCACGAACTCGACCGAAAGAAGTTCCGCAGCCAACGTGTCCCAATGCCCCCAGTTCCCCCAGCCGCCTCTGACACAAGCAATGGCGGCTGGCCAACCTCTGGTTCTCGCGGACCAGACTCCCGACACAGCCGCGTCCCCGGCGGCGCCCGAGGAGGCAGATCGAATGCACCAGGAACGCACGGAGGCCATGGCCACCACGCAGCTCACGGAAACCCGCAACGCCGCGGGCCCTTCCCATCAACACAAAGAGATACAGGATTACCCCCGCGTCCACCCATACCAAACAACGCGCCATGGGATGGATCGCAATCCAACAGAACTGACGGGAGAGATGATCGTCGAAATCAATTCGGACAAGGTCGTCCAGCAGCCAGATCAGGGAATCTGGACTCTTATGTTCCGAATTACAGCAGCAATGACCGCGGCAGTGACCGCGGCAACGATCGCTCGCGAGATTCTGGCGAGCATGGCTCGCATTCAAGTGCCGATTGGCGCTCGACAAGTCGACGTGATTACCGTCGGGATCCTCCATCAAGAAGGAGGAGTCGCAGTCCTGGCTTCAGAGACGGGAGTCGAGGTTAAGATCATGATGTCTAGCGATTGTTCTCACTTAATGCATTCTACTTAGCCAGTCAATCTGTGTGGATGATATGGCAGATGAAAATGGAAATGGAAATGGAAACGAAAACATTCATGTCATAGCTTTTCTCTAGTAAATGGTGCATGGTATTCACAAAATATACACTCAACCGCTTTTACGTCAGTCGTATCCAACTCGATATACTCTCGTGAGATGGCAATTGCAGTCTTGTAATATCCTAGGAACTCGTTGAGAGTGTCCTATTGCAATTGAGATTAAGCCGTGTGAGGGCTCATCTATTTTAAGTTGATTAAAGCATCATAGCCCGGAGGCTAGCTTGTTTTTTTTTTATCGGTTGTTTAGTACAACACGCGGGTCATGATGCGAGCTGGATAAGTTGTTAGCTTTGGGTTCATGTGCGAGAGAAAAGATATAATCTTACAAGGAAGGCTCTCGAGTCTGGTATACAAATCCTTGATGGTGGCAGCGTCCACATTGCTGATATCGGCCATCAGGTAGGCAACCTATTGACAGTTAGTTTCTGCTGTCTTTCTCCGTTGTATACAAAGAACGGATAAACTTACATCGCCTCTGCTATCGGTCATCTGCTTGTCGACGTTGTGGTCACCAATAATCTCGTTGACTGTGTCATTGTCAGTTGAGAGATCGCTTCGTTTGAATCATATGTATTCTTACCTTTTCGCAACACTCCAGGAATGTTCTTGTGGATGTAGATGACCTAGACAATAATCAATATCATCGCAAACCCAGATAACTGCAGAGAGAACTTACACGAGCGTGGTCAGGCTCATCCATTGTCAAAGAACGGAGGACAACTTCGGGCAAGTTGACAGCACCCAGGGTGGAACCCTCGTTAGCATATCGGACCAGAGCCTGGGCAACTTCGACACCAATAGCCTTCTGAGCCTCTTCGGTACTTCCACCGATGTGAGGGGTGATGATAAGGTTCTTGAGCGAGCGCAGATCAGCTGCGAAGGTGTTGAGATCGTTGTTGAAGTAGTCACCGTTTCCGGCGGGCTCGTTGGGGTAGACATCCAGAGCGGCACCAGCAACCTTACCGCTGCGCATGGCGTCGATGAGTGAGGGGATATCTACAACGGTTCCTCGGCTGGCGTTGATCAGGTAGCTTCCCTTCTTCATCTTCTCGAACTGCTTCTGTCCGATCATGCCCTTGGTCTCGGGGATCTCGGGAACGTGGCAGGTAATGAAATCGGCCTCGGCCAAGAGATCATCCAAGGTCTTGACCTGGCGAGCAGTACCCAGGGACATTATGTTGAGGACATCGTAGTAGATGACGGACATTCCCATTGCCTCAGCCAATACGGAGAGCTGGGCACCAATGTGACCGTATCCAATGATACCTGAGAGGTCAGCACAAACCCCGGAAACAACAGAACAGTGGTAAGTCATCACATACCGATGGTCTTTCCACGAATCTCCCAGCAACCGTTGCTCACTTTGTTCCAGGTGCCGGCGTGCATCTCGCTGGAGCGATCGCCCAATTGGCGGGCCAGCATGACCATCTCACCAATGACCAACTCGGCAACACTGCGAGAGTTGCTGAAGGGGGAGTTGAAGACGGCAATACCCTGGTCAGCGGCAAATTGGAGGTCGACCTGGTTGGTACCGATACAGAAGCAACCGATGACGATAAGGTTCTTTGCTTCCTTCAAGACTCGTGCGGTGAGCTTGGTCTTGGAGCGAATACCAATGACGTGGACATCGCTGCAATACAAAGCAATCCATTAGCTTCATGAGTCACCGAGAGGGAATTGAATAAGGACCCACCGAATCTTCTCAATGAGCTGATCTTCTGAGAGGGACGACTTCAGGAATTCGACCTGGTAGCCTTGCTGGGAGAGGATTTCACGACCGGTCTGGTTGACATTCTCCAGGAGGAGAACCTTGATATCTTCTGTGGCGAAGGGCTTCAAGGGCTTAGCATTGATTGGGATCGTACGGTTCAGAACCGAGCTGTGGCTGGAAGGGGAGTTGAAGGAGGCGCTGGGGGAGGTAGCGAGGAAGGCGGCGGCGTCGTCCTGACGAGGACGGATATCTCTTGCGATCGACATAATTGAGGTGTGTAGAGAATTGAAGTAGATTGAAGAGAAACAATCAGGGAAGATGTGGATGAGTGCTCAGGTGGTCCACCTGGATGACTCTTAATAGAAATTAAGTAAGCCCGCAAGGTCTCCGGAATCGGACTCGGTGATTCTGGTTTCGGGATTTGCAAAGTACATTTGATCATATAGTTACTACATGGTATGTAAATTTAGTTATTATTGTCATTGATCCTATTTAACAATTCCAATTAAATAGATGTTGAGATATAGTACTCTACATATGTAGATAATGAATCCTTTTTGGAGGGGTATCGCGGGGCAAATGATTTTTTTTTTTTGCCTTTTTTTTTAAAAAAAAAAGTTGCAAGTTTTGACCAATCAGGTGCAGATCACATGTTTATCGGCTGAGCTTATCTGCTTTGGGCAATGGCGTGCTACATGGGACTATATAGTGTACATGTACGGAGTATATGTAGGATCATAAACTGTGAACCATTATAATATAATTTGTAGGTAAATTGTAGGATACCTCTAAATCTGAAGACCTTGTATCCTTTATTGGCATCCATAATTATATAATCAATATGCTCTGCCCAGGTGTTTAGCCCTAACTAGGCCACTAGGTCATACGACTCATACCTATATACATCGGTGCTAACGTGGATCAAGCATGGCGATGATGTAAAAACCTGGGAGTATTCCAATATACTATATACTGAATACTTCCAAGGTTGGGACAAAACACAAGAGCAGCTCGCTAGTTTATAATTCAACTTTCGCTACAACTCACAACTACTCTGCTACTCTGCTACTCTGCAACTACTCGAGTCTAATTTCCTTGAGTATCTTCCATTATTCACACTCTGTGATCTTAGCTACGCGCAATTTATATTAACGTGAACTTAGAAAATGGTGTTTGACAACAATTCCTTACTGGAAGGATTTGATCCGTTATTGAGACTAGATCCGTTGCAAACATTCCAAGTTCGATTCCTTTGGAAGCTTTAAACCCATTCAAAATTATTAATGGAAGGACAGTCGCTTCTTCGAGTATGGTAGGGGTCTTCAGATACCTTTGGGTCTGTCATATATCTTGACTATCTATTACGGGGATTCAGACAACGGCGGAACAGCTCAAAATTGACTTAAAAGGCATTAGAAAAGTCCCATAAGGATGATGTAAATACGCATCACGACTATGAAGAAGGTCTCGAGGCCAATGAAGACGTGATTCTGGAGCTGATATATTGTTTATACAATGCGGAGACCCAGCCTCCCAAAGGCCACTGAAAAAGATCTATGATAGGATCCGACAGAATCCTGCTTTGTATCACCGAAAAGAGCTTACCAACGATTGTGTGGAGAGGGGTGGCTGCTGTAGTCGAAGCTGTGGATGTTGCAAAAAGCGCTGCCTGACTAGTAAGGAGAGGGGTGCCGGATACTGCACAGAGCAGTGTTATTGTTGTGGGGTCAATCGTGGCTATAATATATCCCGTGCACAATGGGAAACTGTGATGAGCAATCTGGGGCATAGGCTCTGGAGCAAGAATCCCTCCTATCTTTTGGCAATGACGGAGGCCTATTTCTCTAGGCCGGGTATCTTTGGGCTTGGAAAGATGTTAATGGTAAAATTACTTGCGTGATATTGGAAGAAGGGATATCTTTGGCAGTGGAAGCGAGTTTCTAAGTGATTCGAGTGCTAAATGTTGAAGATTGCTTCTGGTTTGTGGCTAGCTAAGTCCTATGGTTGCTCGAAATTTATGAGCTCCTGTCTTGATGAATTGGCTTGTTTGCGAGCTATAGTATTGTATACCAACGCTTGAAATCTGAATATAGAGTGTTAACTAAAAGTGGGTGAACAAGGGAGTCAATATGTGCACGTCAACAGTTCCTCACTTCAAGATGAATGATACTTGAGATCCGAAAGTAGTCCAAATCGAAAGTGAATGGATAAGCGAGCTAATCTATGATAAATTGGCTATAGATGAAATGAAGCATTGTGTATCATCGAGCAGTATTAATATGTCATGTGGCTACATGAGTAGGTGCCTTCCTAGATAGCTGTGCCTTCCTCGTAGGATACAATTACCTATGTAAGAAACCGTTTGCTGTCGTCTCTCTATGAGAACCAGTCTTCTCTCGAGATTGCACTCTGGCTGAAGATTGTTTCTAACTCGCGCGTCGCAAACAGGCCGCCTCCGCGACTGAGCGTCGTGCCACTGTTGATGCTGCCGCCCCCGGTAGTGGTGATGCCACTGCTGCTGGTGGTGAGCTTGGCGGCCCTGACCATGGTGGCGGTCAGGGTGCTCTCCAGGATGCTCTCCAGGGTGCCACCGAGCAGGCAGTGGCTGAGCCACTACCAGGCGGCCCTACCGACCCGGCGCCGGCCTCGCCCGCCCCTTCCTCCCCCCATACTCCCCCTCTTACTCCCCTCCCACCTTTGGCCCTCTCCCCTCTGGCTTCTCCTTGAACCAGGATGCAATATATTGTCTGAGATTTAAAATGTTTAGCACCCTGCACTGGGTAAACAGAAAGCTAACGTCATATGATATACTAGTGAAGAAAGTTTTGGTTTCTCTCTCTGGCCGTTCTTTTTTCCTCTTTCTTTTTTAAAATTAGGCAAATAATGAGAATTTTGTTTGTGTGAACATTGTGAATTAAGGCATATCCGATCCTCATTCTTCTGCAGCCATATGTAGACAGTGAACAGTGTAGACATGAAACTATTGGCTGTAAACCTTTTGCTCCGGCGAAGCGTTGCTTTTACCATATCTCTATTTTTGTTAACACATGTTCCTGTAAACTGAGTGGCACTAAAAGACAAGAATAGTCACATCTTTTGAGATATATAAAACGATGGTAAAAAGCATACTTTGTACAAGAGAATTTCTTATGTACAACCGGGGACAATCGCAACATAGTCAACTATAGAAGGTGTTGTGGCTCCTAGATAACTGCTCACTCGCCCTCTCTAATGACACCCACACTCCACTATCGGCCACATGATTACTTCCTCTTTTGCTTTCTCTACAGAATCTATAAGCTGTAAGGTGGTATGTCCTCCCCGGAGTGCGTCAGGTGATCCACACAGCCCTAATCCATCAGTCAGCGACTGGGATCAACAGTAGTAGGAGGGCATTCACTAGCACGCAGAGTAATCTGGGCCGTTCTGTTCTGCCAATTGAGAGTTGAGTATATCCCAAGAAATGCTTTTATGTGTGGATGGAGGCGAGTATCAGACACACGCTATATGGGCAGTGGGGTGTTTCAATCTGACCACACGAAACGCTGTAATCGCCTCACTGTAGAGGGATCACACCAGGGTTGGAAGGTAAATGCGGAGAAATGTCTGGGCAGTAAGTAGAGGTAGATCTGCAAAGCAAGAGAAAGGGTGTGAAAATATAACGCACCATCACTGTCGAGAGTGTCAGCAACAGACCCGTGTATCAGGGAAAGAGAGAAAAGAGGGAAGAGGGGAAATTTCAACGTTCACGGGACTGGTGCCTTCCATTTGAGTACAATGTCTGCCTATAACAAACATATGTGCCACCCTAGATAGACTCTCAATAGTAACAGTAAATCACATATTCAACCTTCACTGTATATGGTTACCTGAGAGATGAGATTACCGTTAGAAACTAGGTTCTAAGACTACTGGATTTGACATTTGACCACCACTGGGGGAAAACAAAAAAAATTATCAAGACCTACCAATCCATTAAAGGCTGGAATACCAGTGGTCAAGTATAGTCCAATTTGTGTTGATCATATTTCACTAAAATTATGTATGTACTAGAATCATGAATTGGCGTGACTTCAACCACAGTGAAAACCGAAATGCTGGAGACCAAACTCCATATTCTCACTTCTTTGTGGCAACATCGGGAAAGCAGCTCGTCAACTTCTGAGAAAGACATTCGGACTTCTTTTCGGACCAGGATCACTAGAGTGGTTGGAACCCTCGAATTGCACCGGAGATCGTGAAGAGCGCAAATGTTAAACCCCTAGAAATTCTCCAGTCATCGATGCGCTTCTTTGCCTCGACGACTCGTCGCTGAAACTCTTCGGCTCGCTGATTTGCGCCTCCAAATTCCAGCACAAGTCTTTCAGCATGGGAATTTGCGTCTCGCGCTGCGACTTCAGCTATCTCATATCATAGCACATGCTCACGGGATTGGGCTTCGGCCGTCTGAGTATGTTGCTCGGCCTCTGTGCATTTGGTGCATTTGGCCTTTTTCCTATGGTGGCTGTTAGCATTCATGTAGTATCATTCTGAGCGAAATCCTTTTGGCCGCTCTCAATATATGGGGAAGGAGATTGGTAAGTCTTACTCTGTGTGTATTTCCTTAAGCTTCTGTTTGTCGCTCATTGGCTAAGTAGAAGCTGTCCAACAAGGTGTGGGATATGAAATATTGCAAATAGACCGGCGGTCATCCGCTGATCTTGAACTTTCGGAGCCCATCAATTAGGCTTTGTAGAATCTCCTAGTACGTGGTCAACCCCGGTGCTTGTTGAAAGCTCTTTGCAATGTGGTAATGTGGATCGGGGACTCATTTGCATGGGGTCCGCATCAAGAGGTATTCAAAACAGAACTTACACGATGGGCCCAGCGACATTTCTCCTTGCGATGGGTTTTCTAACTGGCGATCAATTTGCCCGGGGGAGTTAATGGTGAAAGGGAAAAATGGAGGGAGAGTTCACGAGGGAGAAAGAGCCTTTTACATCTGATCCGTTTAGCCTTAGGTAATTTCCGGATTGTCCTGCATGCCGTTTTGTATGTCTCTCTAAGTGTCTTTTTAGATTGTTTAAAACATTTTTGATGTCTTTCTACATATGCCTATAAATCATGAACTAAACCATTGTAATTCGTAATTTGTATATCAAGGTACATCTTGGGATATCTCCTTAAACCTGAAGACCTTGCATCTTTTTGGTAGCATCATCGGTGCCCTTCTGGGCCTTCCCCTTGGCCTTGGTGGATGTGCTATCCTTGGGAAGCTCCTTGGTGTAAGGGAGGAATTCGGGAGCACCGGGAATGTATTTCCGCAGGACCTCTGGGACCTCGATACCCTAAATAATGGTTAGCTACTGTCAAAATCACCAATGAACTTGAACACTTACGTCTTCCTTCTGGTAGTTCTCAAGCAGACAGCAGAGGGTACGCTCGGTTGCGCACAGAGTGGAGTTCAGAGCGTGAACATAAGTCTTCTTCAGATCGGTGGCCTTCTTCACGCCGTAACGGATCTCCAGAGCTCGGGACTGGTAATCGGTACAGTTAGAGCAGGAGACAAGCTCCTTGTACTCCTGCTGGTATGGGAACCAAGCCTCCAAGTCGTACTTCTTGGATGCCGCGTTGTTCAAGGCACCGGAGACAATGGCGACAATGTTGTAAGGGAGCTTTAGGGACTGGTAGAATTCTTCGGAAGTGCTGATCATGTCCTCAAAGGCTTGCCATGAGTCCTCAGGCTTGGTAAGAACAAACTGCTCGATCTGCATGGGATTAGAACGTGAAAATTCAGTGCATTCGGATCTACACTAACCTTTTCGAACTGGTGAACACGGAAGATGCCCCAGGCATCTTTACCGTGAGATCCAGCCTCCTTACGGTAGCATGTGCTGTAACCGGCGTACCTATTTCTTCTGTCAGCAAAAACATTTAGTCTTGGGTAACAAGGGAGACTTACTTGATGGGAAGATCCTTGTCATTAAGCCACTCGCTGTCGTGGAGGGCAGACAATGGTTGTTCAGAGGTAGCAATGAGGTACTTGTCGGTGGACTTATCCTCGCTCTCAGTAACCTTATACAACTCCTCGTCGAATTGCTCGAGCTGCGCGGTCTTCGCCATGAGATCCTTGAGCATGAATTGAGGGGGCTGGTTGGGGGTGTAGCCCTTGTTGAAGAGGAACTCTAGACCATAGTTGACCAGAGCCAAGTTGAGGAAAAGACCGTATCCAGTCAAGCAGTATCCACGGTGGCCAACAATCTTGACACCACGCTCTGGGTCGTATCCATCGAGACGAGTCAACACTTCGTGGTGGGAGAGGCAACCTGGCTTCTTCATTTCGACGTTCTCGGGGGCCCATGTCTTGATGAGCTTGTTGTCTGCCTGTAGCCCGAAATCCACTTGTTAGTCTCACGGCGCATTCGATTTCCAGACGACTTGAAGGAGCCATACCTCATCGTTGCTCACGGGCACAGATTCGTGGACGTAGTTTCCAATGGTGCGAATCTTTCGGTCGCGTTGAACCTCCTTGGCGACAGCAGCTTCCTCGAGCTCCTTCTTCTTTTTCTCGAGTTCCGCCTTTTGTGCGAGCAATTCGGTTGCGTCTTCCTTGTTCTAAGAATGGATAAGCATCTCCACACCCAACTAGACTGGCCGAGAAATGCCTACCTTCTTCTTCATTCCAATTGCCTTCTGGACTCCATTGATCTGAGAGCCCACCTGTGTGACATCATATCGGGCTATACCTGTCAGTAAAATTTCGCCAACCCTAAAAGAAAAGGATCCATACCGCGTCGTGCCTCTTCATAGAGCGCGACAACTTCGTCAACGGTTTCCTCCGGAGCAAATCGCTTCTGCTGGCTCTCCTTGATCTTCTTGAGATCACCACCGCGCTCAGTGACAAAGTCTGCTAGGTCCAACATATTGACGATTGGAGTTTTAAGGGTTCCGGGGAGTCTAAGTGGTAGAGGGGTGACTCAAATTGTGGAGGGGTAAAAACGAGGAAAATCAAAGTGCGTGGAGGCACGCACTTGGGCTTCGAGGGGTTGCATTACTTAATCGATGAGGCGCTCCATGGCTCCGCAAGGTCTTTATTTCCAAATAGGCTAGAGTTATGGCCACGGATATTTCTATAGATCAGTTTAATTTGTCACTTTGCATGCATTATGTACTTATAGAAGCTTGTTTAAATTGAGATTCATTACTCTATGCTTGGTACCGATCCATGTTCCCGAATTCGACCCTAAAACTCATTATTCATGCAAAAACCCCAATGGTTCCACCAGAAAGACAAAATAGAAATAAAGCCAAAAAGAAGAGGGTCTCGAGAAGCCATCAAGTTGGTGTTATCAAATTGGCGTCGATGATCTCTAAGTCAATAATCGAGTCAGCAAACAAGACATCCGTAGATCTGAGTTGAGTGAACATCAAAAGAGCAAGGTATAGTGTTGTCGGCTCCAATAAAAGAGACGTTTCATGTTTCTTGACTGAAAGATCCAAAGATCTAGAGATGGCTTCGCTTACCATCCCCGGGAGAGAAACATACGCGTTCCAGTAGCCAGCCCCCATATTACATCAAAGCACACTTGTTGTTCCCAGCTGGTTGTGATGGATTTTGAGACTTCTCAACCTCTCCTATCATCAGATCAAAGGCTTTTGCGACATTGAAATCAAGGAAGGCACTGGCCTCGGTGAAAGCGCAGTTGAGCTCCTCCGCTAATTGCCGTCCATCATCGAGGGTGACTTGGCGGTGATCGGGCTTGAGATCACTCTTGTTTCCTACTATAACAAGAGGTACTTCATCCGCTCCCTTTAGGAAAGATTAGATGCTGGTTCGTGAGTACTAGTCATGGGAAGGACGGTGACTGACGAGGTGGTTCAAGATCTTGTCGCGAATCACCCGCACCATATCAAATGACTGGCGCGATGTGACTGAGTAGACAATGATATATCCATGAATCCCAATGAAATGCTTGGAGTTCAAGATACTATATTCATCCTGTAGAATAGTCTCAGTAACCAAACAGTCATCTCGCACAGGGATCACCTACTTGTCCCGCAGTATCGACGATCTCAGTTGCGTAGTCCTGGCCATTGTGCTTGATAATTCGGCTGAATGTGTTCTCAATTGTAGGGTAATAGCTTTCCACGAAGTGGTGCTCGACAAAGCGAACGGTGAGAGATGATTTGCCTGTTAAATGATACATGTCAGTTTTTCGCAATTATAACGCCTTGGGTTATAGAAGAAGCTCATACCCACGGAGCGACTGCCAACGATTGCGATCTTTCTCTGCTTAGGCGCGGAAGGCATCTTGTGTAGTGCGGTAAGACTCAGCTAAACCGCCAATGTAAATGGGAGATAAGGACGATGATATATTCAGATAGGCAATGTCTTTTGATTGATGGAGCTGAATAAACGAGTTATTCAGAGACAAAAGGGCACCTGTTCAGAAACGAGGTCGTCGGGGGGTGGCAAATCCCTCGAAGCATGCGGAGCTCCAACTCCTTGTAACCTGCAAACAATGCAAACGGCAGGTTCTCCAACTGCAGGGCTGGGCGCTCTATAAATAATTTACCTACATGTACTCCGTAGGTACTCCGTACTCCGTACGTTCCATGATAATCCATTTGTTATTTGTCATAAAATGCACTGTATTACGGTAAATAATAAATCTCATTTTTTCCCTGAATATTGAGGTCTGCTTTGACCTCAGGTCATTATTTTATGACGATCTTGATAAGTGGTGCACATCTGCCCAGATATGAATGTGGAACATTCTAACGTAAATGATTCAATTAAAATTAATGAGGAAAGGGGGTATCAAAAGCTGCCAACAGACCAAAAAATTCATCTCATCGAGTCTAAAAGTCGCCGGTAGAAAAGACCAAGCGCGCACTTATCTAGCGCGTCAAGCGACACATGTAAGGTAGCACGGGATGCTCATCATTGCTCTGCCAGTCGAATCCGAGTGATAAGTTCTTGTAATCTAGACAGGAACCCACTCGCTGGCTGTCCCTGGGTTGGGAAAGTGGAGGTTTCTTGTTCGATCTTCTGATGGTATTGCAGGAATTCATCAACGGTAGATATCACCGGTGTTAATCCGTTGGGAGCGAGTGAGCTTTTAATTTTGGACCGAGTCTCAGGATCCAAACTCAGGGTTAGTAAAAGGACGGCCAAATATCCCACAGCAACGTTGTGGTGTACTTCCAGGACCGAATGAGCCTAGGTAGATCCAGTTAGTCCAATGCGTGGGTGAAAATGTCAACCTAAAACCCGAAGACTTACCGTGGAGATGGACTCAACATGAGCCATGAACAAATGCAAGAGTTGATCAAGGAAAGGCTTTGAGGAGCCAGCAGAGTGAAGAAAAATAGATCTTGATGCTTCACTCTGTTCAGTCAGATTGATAAGTGCGCCGAGCGCCAATATCACGCTGTCCAGAGAATTATTCGCTTGTCCAAGCGCATCTTCGGTCAAATCACCAAAGTTTGCAGAGGCAATGTGGACCAGTCCACCAACCATCTCTGGGTTTGCAAATCTATCACAGAGAGGGGGGGTTGCTATTGGTGATATTCAAGATAAGTCGAATATAGAGGGGTTGTATTTGGCTGCCAGTGCCTGACTCCAAACAGAGCAGGCTGTGAAGCTCAGAGAGCGGGTCTAGGATACCCCAATGCTCTTTCGTGAGCGACTCAGCCGATGCAGTAGAAGCTTCCAAGATTGAAAATCCCATACACAGTATCTGAGAGCTCTCTGGGTGTATTTTTTTCAATGAAACACAACGTTGGCTTTCGGACACGAGCGCTTGAACCAACGGTTTCAGAAGAGATGTGGAGAGGCTAGGGTTCTCGCCTTTGGTTTGCATCGTAGAAATCGTCGACCTCAGACAATAAAATGTCAAAGTACATGGGGATAGTTTCGATAATGCAGTATCGGGGAACAGCATGGAAGCTATCTGTGGAATGGTGTTCTGAAAGGTCTTTTGCAAGGGCCGAGAAAGGCCGCTGGCTTGAGCTCTTGCGGTCACCAGTATATCATCTTGCATGTCCAATAAAGCAGGCGATGCATCTAGAAGCTTGGGCCATGCGGAAGTTGCAAGAACATAAGACATGTGTCCATCTGATGATGCCAGCGCATAGGCACAGAAAGCCAGAATAGTGGGGACCACCTGGAGGTCCATGGACAGACAATCCACAAGCCTTTTGTCAAAATTGCATTCGACAAACCGTCGTTTGAGCCCAGTATCTAGAAGTTTGCCACACAATTGGAGGAAGGCATTGCATCGACCCGACAATGAGTTTTGCGGATCTTCGATATCCTCAAATATAGATTCGACGGCACCTCGGTAACGAGCGTTTCCCCCAGCTTGCCTGAGTTCATGAATACTTCGGACTGATCCATCCTCATTCGTATCCTCATTTGGCACGATTAAACGGGCAGTGGAAGTGGCCTCGTAATTCAACTGGCGTTGGACAGATTGAGAGCGGTGTTTTGGACCAGATGAATCATTGGGCGTCGAAAGGTCATCTGACATAACCAAATCATCCAAAAAGAGCGCTGGCGTGCATAGGTGACGCGGGAACCTCGCAAATGAGATGGAACTGAGGCAGGAGAGTCTTGAATCTGGTTTTCAGCAGGACACTCCTTCACAGCTGCACTTGGCGAAGCTCGGTCGGGAAGGATTGGATTCGGAGACTGCTGACTATCGACGGTACTCTCTGCTGATGTTTCAGCCACTGGAGATGTTTCAACGGGGTGCTCCGTGATCCCAAGCGAGTCAATCAGTCGCCTTCGCCCAGGTGTGATGTTCGCTTTAATGGGATAGTCCTGGTCGATGTCCGGCGAGCTATTTGGCGCGGAGTCTGCATTCCCAGGGCTCTCCTCGGCTAATATGCTCATTTCATGCTCGGGACTAGATATCTTATTCTGGCTCCGCGTAGATCTCCCAGTCCTTGAATCTGATATCGACGTCACGGGACTTGTCTGCTGATCGGCTTCTGGCTTTTTAGTCAAAAGCCCCCGGGCATCGAGCACCCTCTTCCCAATTTGTGGTGACGCTTTACGATATCCACCCTCTGTCTCGCTTGGCTTCACAGATCGCTTGGTCACAGGAACGACCTTGTTTCCACCGGGCACGGGCTCCTTCTTCCTCATTTGTGACGACACTTTACGATCTCCATTCTCCGTGTCGCTTGGCTTCGCGGATCGCTTAATCGCAGGAACGGCCTTGTTTCCATCGGGGCTATATCGTCTTCGCTTTCTCTGAATCATGGACATTTGTTCATCGTCTGAAGAGGGAAAGTCATACACATTAGATTCTGCGATAGGCTTTGGCTGTGTAAGACCTCGAGTCGTTGTCGTGTCCGCCGATCCAGGCGGTTGTTTATCTCCATTTTTGTCGCGCTGTAATCTGGTGTAGAATGGCCGTGAGGGACGTGACGAGCTTGGCAAGGGCATTTCTTTAGGATTTGTTCTAGCGGCAGATGAGCGCACTGATTTTTCGGTATTCGGCGAAGGTTGACTTTTGGCAGCAGAGCCATAGGTTACGAGTCGTCGATTCCGAGGTTGTGAGTTATCCATGGTCGGTTCACAAAGTAGGCGAAAGTAGATGCGCGCGCGTTGTTTGACAAAATCGACTGGGAAATCTGGTTCTCGAGCAAATCAAGGTATGTCGAGGAGCAATTGGATTAAAGGATTGAGTAAAAGGTAATCGTTTCTTGAGACGAATCCATGTCCTTCCGGTGTTCAATGGAGCTTACACACGCTCAAAGGGTGTGGCGCAGTCATCAAAGGATTGACCCCTAGGTGATTGGGAATGAATGTGTAAATTACCTAGGAAATTTCCTTTGAGAAGATTAATGAAACAACTGACATCCGAGGTCTGATTAGGGAGATGATGCAAGTGATAAGAGGCGGAGGGGGTGAGATGGGGCAGAATCACCCACTGCGGTATAGCCTCCAGATATAGAACATAAGATAAGAGTAAAACCCTACATACTTCCCCGCTTTCGGCTTTGAGACATATAAAGGCCCTACCCTTATATATCTCTCTCTGGACTCTTGTCCTTTAAAGGTACTTCGACTGTCTCAGGTGAACTTTCGGTGCTTTCATATTCTAACATCTCTTTTTTCTCTCTTTCCCTAGAACGACCCACACTCACACACACATCTTTGGACGCAGCAAAATCATGGCTAGCAAACCAGAGAGTGGTCCTTCTCCTGCGCAGGGCGTTGGTCCTCTGTATCAGCCCGATGGCGAGAAGCCCACTGCGACAGTCTCAAAGAAAGTCTCCTACGAGAATGTCCACGTGCTACCTCAAACACCCCAGTTGATTGCTCTCTTGACGTGAGGACCCATTCTCTGCGTGAAAGTAACACTAGACTCATATTTTGTACCACAAACAGGATGATCAGAGACAAGAGAACCACCCGTGCCGATTTCATCTTCTATTCTAACCGCATCATTCGGTTGCTGGTGGAGGAAGGCTTGAACCACCTCCCCGTTGTTGAGCAGTCCATCACTACCCCCGTTGGACGGTCCTACCTTGGTGTCAAATTTGAAGGAAAGATCTGCGGTGTCTCTATTATGCGCGCAGGCGAGGCCATGGAACAAGGATTGCGCGACTGCTGCCGATCTGTTCGCATTGGAAAAATTCTTATCCAGCGGGACGAGGAGACTTGTATGCCCAAGCTGTTTTACGATAAGCTCCCTACTGACATTGCTGATCGATGGGTCCTTCTCCTTGATCCCATGTTTGCAACTGGTGAGTTGAGCTTGTTCTACAATGTCCATAGCCACCCAGCTGATTTTTTTTTCCCAGGTGGTTCTGCAACTCTGGCCGTGGAGACACTGATCGAGAGAGGCGTTCCTGAGCACCGGATCCTATTCCTTAACCTCATTGCCAGCCCGTCTGGTGTTGCTGAGTTTGCGGAGAGATTCCCTAAGCTCCGTGTCGTGACCTCTTTCATTGATCAAGGATTGGATGAGAAGAAGTGAGAATATCACACCCCTTGGATGTTGCGATTGCCATGCTGACTGATTGATAGGTATATTATCCCCGGCCTGGGAGATTTCGGTGACAGATATTACTCTATGTAAAAGTGCTGTTTCCTACCACGTTGAAAGGAACATCAGCGGTCACAAGGTCACGTGGAGATTCTGAGTGATTCAGTATTCCATTGTCCACCCATTGCTTGGTCTGTTCCAGATGCCATAAGGCACTTCCACTTCGCCATACAAGTCGCCTAGTCAGAGTTGACTTGATGCCCGGTAGTGGGGTAGAGGTCTAAATGGGTGAGACACTTCTTGGAGTTTGGGAGATATGATAAGCATATGCAACAAGAATATGTAGCAAGAATATCAAATACCATGTACATACAAGAATTTCACAACTCAATTATTGTTGATATCGTGCCTTAATGCGCCGTTCGCCGTCATCCCATGATCAGTAGTCATCATCATCATAGCCATCGCCCTGCCCAGTCTCTTCTGGAATACCCTGCTTGCTGATTCCTCTCTGTTGGCTCGGGTTCGGTGCGTCATATTGGTTGGCAGTGTCCTTCGCAACTGCATCACATGCGTCTACCCAATCGGAATATACATCAACGGGGGCGGAGAGATCTTTGAAGGGTTTTGGAAGTTAGAGTAGTTAAGACTAATACCATATGGTGATTATCAACTCACAATTGATACCAGTTTGGAACTTCTGGCCACACACTTTGCAGGATAGATCGCCAAGGCCAAGCTTCTTGTCTAACTTGACGACCACAGAATTCTCATGGTTGCAGAAGAGACAGGAAAAGGTGGTAGCAAGAGGCTCCCTCTATGATTCACAGTCAGTGTTGAGTGGAAAACCTGGCAACTTGTGATTCGTTTACCTTTTTGGGCCCTTGGGGCTTCGAGCTTGACTTCTTACGCTTGCCCTGTAGAAATCAGCATCTATCCACGGTCGGGGTGGTCGGGTGGTTGGGTAGAGGTAAAATAATGCCACATACCATGCTGGAGTTGACCTGCGACACAGGATTTTAAATAGAAGAAGGGATGACAGGAAAGTTGAAGCAATGAGAAGTGTCAACCCGCGCGGGAGTAGGCCCGCGGCATGGATGCCAAGACGACTTGCTTAATTGGGAATCGGAATAATGAGCCTCCAGACTCCGACATGTGATGTCAATGGCGATTCCCACAAAGCGATCTACATTGTACAATACAAAGTACGCTAAAATTTGTATGGAAAGGGTCTATGTTGGGCGAGTTTGAGAATTTGGAGGGTTCCAGGCGGATTGTCAAGAAAAGAGTATTGATTTTGGGAAATGGTGTAGAACCAATCCAATACATGAGTATGCAAGTACACAAATATATACTCATGTCAGTGTACAACATTCAAAGAGAAAGTTTTAGCGCCAATAGTGTAGGGCCAATTGTAACGGCCAACGATCTACCACATTCCATTTAATACAAAAGACTCCAGCGGCCGCTGTATGGTGATGACATAAGACGATGACATAATGATAATCCCGTGGACCTTTTTTTAATGTTCGATCACATGACCCAAATGAATGACATAATCAGCTAGGGCCCGCGCCTCGCTTAGCCGAGTTTTCTGTGGGTTTTCAACCCTCCCAGTCGAGTGTCGAAACCCTCTGAGCGCGCGGTGCGATACCTTTGTCTGTCTTCCAACAACACACAGATAACTCGCAATCATGGCTGTTGGAAAGTAAGCGCCCTATTCTTCATCCTTTTCCTGCTTTCCATTTATCGAATTACTTGCGCATCTACGACATCCATTGAATTCACGAACATACGGCTAATCCTCTTCGTTCAGGAACAAGCGCCTATCTAAGGGTAAGAAGGGTATCAAGAAGCGCACAGTCGACCCCTTCACCCGCAAGGATGAGTACTCTGTGAAGGTGTGTTCTATTCCTTTCATTCTCCCCGACGCAATGCTAATCGTTCTCGACAGGCTCCTTCCACCTTCCAGACCCGCGAGTATGCAAACCACCCGAATCGAATATGGCGAGATTTTTGAGATGGATTGACTAACGGAATTATCAGTGTCGGCAAGACTCTGGTCAACCGCACCAGCGGTTTGAAGAACGCCAACGACTCCCTCAAGGGTCGTATCTTCGAGGTCTCCCTCGCCGACCTCCAGAACGATGAGGACCACGCCTTCCGCAAGGTCAAGCTCCGCGTCGACGAGATCCAGGGCAAGAACTGCCTGACCAACTTCCACGGTCTCGACTTCACCACCGACAAGCTCCGTTCCCTTGTCCGCAAGTGGCAGTCCCTGATCGAGGCCAACATCACCGTGAAGACCACTGACGACTACCTCCTCCGCCTGTTCGCCATTGCCTTCACCAAGAGACGCCCCAACCAGATCAAGAAGACCACCTACGCTCGTTCTTCTCAGATCCGTGCCATTCGCAAGAAGATGACCGAGATCATCCAGCGCGAGGCCTCCACCTGCACTCTCTCCCAGCTCACCCACAAGCTCATCCCCGAGGTTATTGGACGTGAGATCGAGAAGTCCACCCAGGGCATCTACCCCCTGCAGAATGTTCGTTTTTCACCCCCAATACTGGAGAGTCGCATATATATACAGGTTGCTAACATACATTTCTACAGGTCCACATTCGCAAGGTTAAGCTCCTCAAGTCCCCCAAGTTCGACCTCGGTGCTCTCCTGTCTCTGCACGGAGAGTCCTCCACTGATGACAAGGGACAGAAGGTTGAGCGGGAGTTCAAGGAGACCGTCCTCGAGAATGTTTAAAGGTTATGTCAATGAAGTGGTGTCACGTACTGGTCAGCCGGGGCAAATCATTGTCTTCTGGTCATAGGAAAAGAAAAAAGTTCAAACGTGTATGACAGATTTGAACTGGCGTTTAGCTACGCGTTGCCAGTTTTAGACATGATCCCAAAAATTCAAGGGTTGTAGTTCATTCATGTTCAATCATCTTCAGCCTGCTACCGTGTAGAGAGGTGCATTGTGTAGTCCCACCTGCTTATCCTGGGGCGTGATGCTCGATCCAACTAGATGCCATGGTTACCTACTTCGTCCTACTACCTCATTCGCCCCTATAACATATCCGGTTCATCTTCCGTGTGTCTAGCACCAAATGTGGAGAGCGACGACCGGTCAATTCTAGCCCGGTCGTCGATCTAATCTTGATATTTCGAAGGATCACCGTTGTACCTAGTTATATGTGCGATATTCCAAAGTTCTGGCTAAGATACATGCGCTATATATAACCTTAGAACAACAGCATTGCCATCTATCATCGTGAATGGTTCGAGGTCTTCGGCATGAAGAAGACAAAAATATATTAAAGTGGGTGTAGTGTTTAGGCTACATATTCATTGGTGGCCTAAGACCACAATGATGGCATGTAAGTACATTTGATAGGATGAGTACCTTCTAGGTTACTCCGCTCTCTCTCCTAAGCTGAGAAATTCCCCGCTAGACTCGAAGAAACTTAGTTCCGGGGGTGATCAGACACAGTCCCGAAATAGTTAGAGCCCTAAGAGCTATAATCAGTCTTCTATACCTAATCAATGTTGCACAGTTCAACTGCTTGCTGTATACAAGTAGCAATGGGTGTGTCTTGCGTGCCAAGTATAAGGTGAGCAGATTGTGCAATATCTCTGAGAATATCCCTCAAGCTCCGGGATCCTTCTTCCAGATGTTAAGTTCTTTCATCAGCCATGTATATAATATGACACTTGGGGGAATAACGGGTAAAATTATATCCTACATGGCTTTAGCTATTCAAATTAACGTAGCATTATATAATTCTGTCGAGGTTTTGCTTATACCACGCATGATACAGCGTCATCCGTAGTAAATATATAATCGATACTAGGTTCCAACGAACAAAATATATAATCCTAGACGGAGAAAATCTATAGCCAACTAGGTTCTAGTAGGCCATGCAACTGTTCCCTATGCCTCGTTATGGTTCTTTCATACTCTTTGGTAAATTGACAAGTTAGCTAGAGGCTCTTTCTTGTATTGCATTGGCTCCCATTCCTCGAGGCCCACGGATAATTTCTCAGCCTCGAGTGTTAGCAATTCTCAAGGAAAGAAACAAGAAACAAGAAACAGATATTCTCCTTTCATCAAACAGTGTTATCATACATTGGCAAGTGTAAATGTTTATACCTGGATGATATAAGAGGAAATAAGGTTGGTGGAGCTCCCCATTAGTCCAACCCCCGCACTCTCTAGGGGGTATGAGGTCACGAGTCCTACGCCCCCCTCTTGAATTGCATGATATCTTGTTTCTCCTGTCTCTTCTTCTTTTTCATCTCTCCTTGAACCAATTCCTCATCTACCACCACATCAAACATTCACATTGAAACCAGTAAGCATCCATATTGAAGCATCCATATTGTGTTGATATACTTCCATTCCTTGGCATCAAACCGTATACACTTGCTATCTCAATCCACCGGTGATCATCTTACTAACATGGCAAACTAACCCTTAGTGACACGCTCACACAAATCCAACGACCGTGAACACCAGGCTGACGGCATGATGGGTACCCGTGAAAATTTACCACGCTACTTCGCAAAGTCCGGCCCTACCGATGCTGATCCTCGCAAGACAAAGAAGGACGGGGGTGGCAAAGGCAATTGGTAATCAATGCACGTCATAACCATGTGTTTTCATCCAGCTAATGCTTGCATTGCCACAGGGGTCGATCGGGCGACGAAATGCAGGACACTGACTACTCGTTCGCCAATGCTAGACGTCGGTCCAACAGTAGCACCCAGGGCCTGTCTGACTTCAACACCAAATTTGAGGCTATTGAACCGGAGCCCGTGTTCGAGGAAGAAGACCTTGGCGAGGCCGACATCGTCGCGGGAAATGATAATACCGTGACCAAGGTCGAAAGTGCCAGTAGCAACGATAGCGAGGCTGATCATGACGGAAGGAAGTATTAGGAAGTCTCGGCTATCCGCTATGGCGATTTGAGCATTCCAACATCTGGATGTCAAGTAGGTAGGAACACGAACAAGGTAATCTCCAAGGGTCATGACTCGATGTCATGGGAAGCATTATTTATTATGAAAGTCTGAGAAAACAACCAAAATCAAACATAGCATTCATATCTCACTGCAAAAATGAGAGTGCGATCCAGTACGACGTAACTTTGGGGTTTACTGAAGGCCTGAACCATACGACATTGAAATATCTCTTGAGATTTCATACATACAACATATTATGACCCATTGGTCATTGGATAACCGAGTAAGAATATCGAAAACGCCGCCATTTCAACCCCAACCCGCGTCAACTGTAGAGAAAATGCAATCGTTTGCTCCAGCAACTTCACCGTCAATCATAGGTGCTCTATTCGGGGGGGCGATATGTGGACCTCAGCAGTTTCCCGGAGGTTTTGGAACCAGAAATCAAGCTTTCCGACCTCGATGCACTGGCGCAAAATATCATTTTCGGTCTGAAGGTCGGACGCCACACGAGATTTTTGCTCGGGGCGGAACCGTGACACAAGAATATCGGAATCAGAATCAGTCATCAGAGCTTCCGCAGGCGAGAGAGGTTTGTAAACAGAGTTCAGACCGGCATTTCGAGGTTCTAGAAATAGTACGTTGGTTAGTTCCATAGTCAAAGTGTTTATGGTTGGAATAAACTCACCTTCCAAGCATGCAGTTAGTGAGCGGTAGAGCGTCGTGTCGGCGACTGAGCTATATTCATTACCATTGGGGCCCTCAGCAGCTTTGCCCCGAGCTACCCAATCATCTTTGATCAAGCACCGTCGCCAGATCAACCTCTGCAAAGCCTTGAGGTAGGATGGGTCTCGCTGGCCGTAGCGTCCATAATCAAGAACCTGCAAGGCGAGATGGAATTCGCTCCGTGCAAGCTCACCCTCGCTATCATCTGCCAGTTGAGTAGGGCCCATCAATGTCAGGATATCAATCAAGCCATCGGAACCGACAACCTGTCTGTCGATCAAGGTCGAGAGAGCATCGCTTAAGAT